AATATTTTAATAAGAAGTTTTTTATGGCCAAAGAACTTTGAACAATGTTGAACAACTGTTCTATTTTATAATTATTTTGTTGATGAATAAAAAAAAATTCTCAAACCATTGATTTGGAAATGTGCAACTTGTCATTGTCAGCTGGAAATATAATTTGACCTACAGAGTTTCATTAATATATATAAAAATTGGTTAAATCGTTTTGTATATTTCCTCCATGAGTGCAAATGGAAATTTTAAAACAAAGGGACGTAACTTGGTAAACTGAATCCGAACCGCAATACGGACTTTACCGAGAATATAACTGTAGCGCCACCTGTTAGCATAATTTGGGTATCACATATTATTACACCAGATGTCGCGTTGTATTATGCTTCCCGCATTCGGCTTTCGGCTATGCGCATTCTACCTTATGACATTCGTCATTCATGCTGAGTAAATAGACCCAAATACAAACAGTTGCAGGTTAATTTATTGAATTAATATACCAGATCAACAAATGAATAATAATTGATCGTAAAATAACGACATCAACATAAAATTAAGCAAGTCGCACACAGCAGAAAGCATATATAGTGTGCAGGTAAGAAAGCAACATGTAAAAGTCAGAATGCAAGATGTATATGTCAGAATGCAAGATGTACAAGTTAGAAAGCACGATGTACAAGTTAGAAAGCACGATGTAACGTAAGAAAGCAAGATGTAATTTTGGCATAAATAACCCTCCATACATATGCGTATTGAATTTCTTTGTTAACTGTCAACCAAAAATCATGCCATGCCACTATGCTATTTTGTTTACTGCTTGAATGACCAATTTCTTCATAAGAAAAGACAACAGGTGTACGTCCTTTGATAACTGATGGGATTAGACTCACGTGCCGATGACCTGCCAATCATTTTGGTTATGCTAGGGTTTTTCACGAAAGTTGTACATTACCATTTCTGTTCATTTTATCTTGTTTTAACCACCTACTGAATAAGTGGATGCTAATTGACACCACATAAGAAATAAAATGTACGCAAACTCATTTAAGTTTATATTATGCGGGGAAAAAACCCAACTAAATTCATTCAATGAATAACAACAGAATTCTGCTACAGATAGGGCATATACTGCTGTAATTGAAATTCGTAATATATTGAAATATAAACCAAATATATAGATAAATAGAATAAATCGTCAATGTTGAATCACTTTATCTGTTTAGGAGAAACCAAGCACGTGTTCGTGCCGATGTGTCCAGATAACTAGAAAATTGGGTTTTCAAAAAGTAAAAGAATATTCAAATGTATTAAACAGTCGGAAACTAAATAAATCATGCACTTTTATATTGTATAATACTAACAGCACTAAAGCTAACTGATTTATTTAATTAAGACAAGGTAGAGAACAAAGGTAGCGAACTCACTATGAAATACAATGTACATGAGAGGTAAAACTTAAAATCATAGAATACCATCTCTAACAGTTAAAAAAAACAATTATGGCAAATAAAATACTTATCTGAATGTTAGATGACGGAATTCGGCATTTTAAACCATATCAGCTGCTATATAAACATTGGCTGTGGATTTTAATGAACGATGTTACCACGTTGGAATTTAAAGTGATTTACTAAAGCTGTAGGATTCTGCGCACGGAATTCACGTGACAGAGATAACAGTTTTATACACGCTTAGACGAGTGTTGATACGGTCATACGTTAATAACCCGCTACATTAAAACTCTTTATTTATTAAAGAAAATAAATCTACTTATATTTTCATTCAAACAAGCAAGGAAATTGTGAACAATTTTTATAGACACATAAAAAATGAAACGCAAACATATAAAACACCTTAAATGAGGTAATGAGGTAATACATATGTTTATATCACAAACACTTAATACGTCATATGTATATTAACTAAACAACGTAAGATATAGAATTGTAATACATGTGAAATTCAAGTTATAATTAAAGTAAAGATAAATCAATACATTGTATATATCTAAATACAATTTTTTAAATAGGAATAAATGAAATGTATGTGAAAAATATAAAAAAATCTTATTAACAATGCATTGCATATAGAAATGACATACATTCATTGGAAGATGAGCATATTTTCCGCTTTTACATGTTTTTTAACTGCCGAACAATAAATTAATTAAATAAATGTACTGACAAAGACTTTGGATCTTACATACATCTTAACACAACTTTTTTACTCGTACATTACAGTCACGTAAATTGAAACCGCAATCCACAACTAGTAGCAAATTCCAAACAATGTTTATCAAATTCCTCATTCTGTGCCACTGTAAACCAATTTTTCCAATCGCAAACCATTAAAGTGACATTATGCTTACATGTATTTTATCATTGTAAAAATTGAGTTGAACTGACTATTTTTCGTCCATGCGAATTACATTATTACGGTGGCATAGAGGGGACATCAGAAATATTTTATCTATCACGTGCGCACGCGATGGGGGACATCAGAAATATTTTATCTATCACGTGCGCACGCGATGGAGGACAGCATATTTTATATGTCACGTGCGCACGCGTTTGGGGACATCGGAAAATATTTAAATACCACGTGCGCACGCGATAGCTACCACGTGCGCACGCTATGACTTCTATTACTATTACTATGCTATGACTACTATTACTATTACTGTGCGCACGCTATGACTACTATAACTATTACTATATACTACAATTTATTACGTGCGCACGCGATAGCTTTTAATTTCAAACAAGTCATGAATGAGCACTTACTTCCCTGTCCATTTTAGAAATGGAAGGTATTACGTGCGCACGTAGTAGATATCGCGTGCGCACGTAGTAGTTATCGCGTGCGCACGTAGTAGCTGTCGCGTGCGCACGTAGTAGCTATCGCGTGCGCACGTGATAGATAAAATATTTCTGATGTCCCTCATCGCGTGCGCACGTGATAAAATATTTCTGTTGTCCCCTCTATGCCACCGTAATATAGTCAATGGCTGAGTTTACTTTTTTACCCTTTTGCTGTTCCGAATAAAAGCACATTCAAAAGTGGTTTTTGAGGTTCTATGTTTATGGGATATGAAACAAAATCCAAAATGCATAGAGTTTTAATGGAATTTAGATTGCTATGAAGGGAAGCTTATATGTTAACAAGAAACTATTCGGAATACTTCGCCGATATTCGAGCTCAGAAACCACAGTTATTTGGTTCTCACAGAGCCGATGATATTTCTTTTATTTTATATTTTAATATTTTTTGTCACTTAGGCCTTTTTCGTTATGATATTTTCCCATAGACTAACATTTTAAGAAATGTTCCTAACCCTATCTTAAAATCTAGTATTCATGCTTGAGATGTGATTTTTTAAGGAGAAAAATATGCCTGGCATATATAAATGATCTTGTTTTATATGGTTGACGGGCAAAATATTTCAGAAAATATCCCTATAGAGGATTATTCCTATTCTAACTGAAATTTTCATGAATAGAAAAGTCACTTGTCAGATCTCAAAATGTATATATGATGACCAGATTATATCTTTAATAACTTCATCAGAAGCCAAGAAGCTGAAATCAAAACCCAAGTAGGGTCATACATATTGCTTTAATGAATTGTGGTATTAAAACTAGGAAATCTACAAATGCAGTATACAATTTCTTTTTATCACGTTTAATAATCTTATCAATAACATAATTTAGAACAAATATGCAGTCAATAGTACTTCTACTATTCCTAAATCCATACTGATTATCTGTTAAGAAATTATTGACCTCTGACCATTTTCGAAGTCTATTATCTAGGATTACTGAGAAATTTTTTGAAAACGCAATACCCCTATTATTATTTACTTCACTTGGATCCGTTTTATTCGGGACAGGTACAATAATTAATTGCTTTATTCATTCCATGAGGTTGGATAAGATCCACTTGTGAAAATATGATTAAAAATTTTACTTAAAATTGGAGATAATAAATCATTACATTCAATAATTATTTCTGGTAAAAGTAAGTCATAACCACCACTTTTATTCCTATTTAGCGAAGAAATAGCCTTAGATACCTCCTCTATTGTAATTTCTTTATCTGACATATCAACTTGTTGTAATATAACATCATCACTATTAATACACTGTTCAACATCATCATTTGAAAATACATTTTGGCTATTAAATAAATTATTGAAATCGGTTAAAAAAACGTTTCATTCGACACTTTATACAATCGGGACTTTTCTTTCTAAACTTTTTTATTTCCTTCCAAAACAATTTCGGAGACGTTTTTGATAAATTATGCATTTTATTCTTTTGAGCTAAGTGATATTTTGTCTTTGCTCTCCTCTTAGCTAATCTATACAATCGTCTATTATTAATCAGATTTTCTCTATGAAGTGCAGATCTACAATTTGAATACAATCTATTTGCATGAACAAAATTCTCTCTTTCACGCTCACAATTTTGGTCAAACCATTGACTTTTAAATTTCCGTCTGTACTTAAAAGTTTTAACAACTTTCGTAACTCCGAAAATATCATATGTATTTTTGTATAAAATAGCAGATATAGAGTCAATACCGCTATCTAAGCTTAAATTATTATTAATTACATCGTTAAAAATAGTTTCAATGCTTAATAAATCAGAAGAAACACATTTTCTAAATATGTCGTTTCGTATTACACATGAACTAACTGCATGAAAATCATATCATCTATGTTTTAGGATAACAGTTAAACGTTTTAGATAAAAGGAACAATAAGGATAATAATTGTAAACATACAAGGACGTATTGTCATCAGGTACACTCTTAGTGATAGTAATTAGAATATGATTAACGTTTTTTTTTACTACATATCTATAAGTTTATTTAAATTAAGTCGACTTTCACAAGATACAATGAAATAACTAAAGTAAATAAATCCCAGTAATAATTTATACGCTTTATATAAGTAATACCGTTATCGTACTCGATCCTTTATCGGAAACTTGACGGAAGAGACCGAGAAGTTGCGACTGGTTTATGATACGATAGGGGGCGCTTTAATAATTAAATATCATACAAAATATTAAGTATACGGTTCCTTATTGGTATTTTATTGTCTCTAAGTAAATATTTATAAGTGATTATTAATAGGGTCATATGCGATGTTATATGAAGGTAATACTTTTTTTATTACTGTTGATAACTGTAGATTACTGTTGCAACATTTCACAGTATACCACCATACCGGATCAGAACTGGGTACAAAACCATGGGGGGGGGGGGGGGGGGTTATAGAAGACGATGATGACGTCTTGCGACCTCAACTCCAGTAAAGTAAAGTAAAGTATTAGTATATTTATGACTGAGTTTACATGAGCTTATAATCATTTGTGACTTAAATCTTGAATATGTTAAACAGAAAAATTAATGCATATATATTCATTATTTTTATAATTTTATAATGAAAATTTCTTTTAATAATTTTAGGACTGTATGTAGAAGGTCTAATAAATGCTTCCAATGCATCACACTGTGTCCTTGAAGCTCCTACTGACAAAGGAAATAAGAACGGGTTAATAGTATCTCTTTATTGTTACTTGTCTACCTAAATGCACTCCTTAAAGTCAGTATTTTGTTTATAAGTAATATTCGAAAACGAAACAAAACAAAAATTGAAATCGAAAGTAGAATATTTCAAAATCGAAAGTAGACCATTTCAAAATCGAAAGTGGTAAGTAAAAGAGCATGTATATGAATGTTTACGTTACCTATAGTAATTTACATACAGGGGAAATAGATAATTTTTATGTCTAATCACCTTTGCAATAAAAGATAGGTCAATAGTATGAAAGTTAACACAAAGAAACATATGTGCTCTTATCAACGTAATAAAAGATTAATTAAAACAAACTAAGAAATAAGTAAAAATATCATTTATGTATGTGTTCAATATGAAAAATTCCAATTCATCTTTACATCAATGTTTTATTGAAATGAAGGCTCGTTAAACCAGCAAAATACATTGAAAGATTATTTTCTGATATCAGTTAGCACTTGATTTTGATATACAACTTGATATTGATTAGTTTTCTTACAATTAAATTTCAGGATAGAAAAAAAATCACAACAGAACAGAGGACAATCTGTAAGTAATTATATAGCACACTTGCAGACATATTGTTCTTGTAAGTTGTTCAATTTAACCCAATATTAAATTCGTATACACTCTTTATCGCCAATATGTAAAATATGAAAATATTAATTAAATGATTAAAGTGGGAATTAAGACAGGTATTAAAATTCTGATCAAATTTTGTTCTTATTAACTTATGTTTTGTTTGGTTTTCAAGGTTTTCTATTTTATTATTCTTTTTATAATTATTTTAATAAAACAACAGGATAGCTACAAACCTGGATACCAATTTAGTCCTGAAGCTATATAAAGAAAGAATAGTCGTATAAAATGTGTGTTGCAAGATTAACATACTTTTCGTTTTATTCTATATATTCTATATAAAAGAAACTGATGGCTAAAAACGGAAATCCGACAGAACAAAACACAGTCCTCGATGATGTTCTTGATACTAACGATAAATTGGAACGCCAAATAAAACAATTACAAAATGAAATCAAACACCAACAAAATGAAATCAAAGACCAACAATTAATTATCAAGAAGTTTCAAGAGAGAAGTAAAACAGCAGAAAAACGGTAACATATTTTTTGTGCTTTACTTTTGGTTATTATTACATTTTTGTTTTATCAAATAAAGTTACAGTATTCAGCGTGTATTTAATGAAAAAGTAAGTAGTTTAAAATGTAAGTCACTTTAATTATGTTTTGGAATTTTTACTGTTATAAATATTGTATCTTTCCTTCAATTTTTAGCTCAAGTGAAATTACTAAACATATGGCGAAGGTGATGGACACATCGGGAGCCTTTGAAAGTACCAATGACAGTTTGTCGAAAATTAATATCATAACTCAGTTCAGCAATGTATATAGCAATGATTGGGCAAAGTTATCGATTTGGCTAGCAAAACAGGGAATATTGGAAGATCAAATAATTCAGAGTCTAACGTCATTGATGAAGGTACTTTTACAAGGAACAATATCTCAATATGATTTACCTATTACATTAAAATAAAGCTAACTGACATAGTTCAAGCTATGCTATGGGACATGGGGAGTGTTACATTTTTCATTATCCCTCATGTACATACTCAATTAAACCGAGTCTGCAATGTTCATGTTTTGCTGTTTTAAATGCTTCCGAGCGATACTTTTTTCCGGATATTTATATGTTAAAAATATTTATAACATATAAATAGAAAGACATTTTGACGTCTACTGAAAATGGTGGTAACTTTTTATTTTTATGTTTTTCTACTGAAACGTTTAAGTGGTATTATCATTTCATGACTCAGTATAAACTTACTTTTAAAGGTTTGGAGATTCGATTCAATACTTGTTGAAAAAAAGAGTTATAATAGTTTCAACTATTTTATCATCGTTTTCCCAACAGGCTTGTCTTACTGATATATTTACTATCATTTGCTAATTATGCTTATAATTTTGCATTTACAATTACCTATTCTTTTAACGGTAATGAGATGTCTAAATGTTTTTAAAAGATCTTTTGATTCTTTATATATTCTATCACGTTTTATAGATTGAAAGCAATGTGAACATTGTCTTTTGGTTCTAGGAAAGTTATCAAGAATGCCTTTGTTTAGCAGACGAACAACTCCGTCAGTTTATGCTTTTGAGTGAATCACAGGGTAGTCCATCCCATGAAGAGGTATTTATAAAGATTGTTATCTGCTGAAATCCAGACATCCGATTACATTACTCGAACTATAGTTGTTTTGCTTTTTTAACCCAAAAATGAAAATAGATTTATAGTCTTTTATCAGCCAGGCAGATACTAATGAAAAAAATAATAGAAATTATACAGTGTAAAAATTGAATTATTGTTGCTTTTCTTACCAAATGTAGCAACTATGAATGTTTTGTAATGTTAAAAAATCTTTTATTGGTATTATTAAGCATGAAGAACTGTATGCATTGAGAAGGAAATATGCAATCAAAGATACTGCAAGGGCAAGGATAAGTCAGGTGCGTATATTTTATAAAGACATTGAAAAATATTTCTTTTGAACTTACTACTTTAACAGCATTCAGTATTCTTTAAGAAGCTATTTAAATATATATTGCTTTATAAAAGTTCAAGAAAATGCCTTAGATTTATATATCTATAATTCTTGCTTCTCACATGTCTTAACAATAACATATCTCACCTAATTATATGCAGGAGGTGTTAGAAAAAGTGTTTATTGGTAAAGAAATACCATGGTTTCAAATAGAGGACAAAACTGAAGAAGCAAAGAAAATGCTACAGGAATTTTTACACAAATTTGTAGATTGTTGCTGGGTGATGGTTGTTTCCACTCCGCGTCTAGCTTTGAACTTTGATGTTGTTGGAAAACAGTATTGTAAGGAACACTTCAAAGTTTATTCAGCGAAAGAGCGTATCAAAGATGAAACAAAAGATACGAACAGTGTATATGAGGTTGTGTGGCCCTGTGTGTACTATGCCGACGGTTCCGTGTTCTGTACAAAAGGCGACGCCCTCTTAGTATCAATAGGTTCGACACCCGTTGAAGATTCCGGCATTGTTGATTGCACTTGTTTTGTATCAAAGGAAGACAAAGGGAACCGTACAGCCGTTGATGAAAATTCGTCGGTAAATAAAAAGGTTACAGATGTGTGAAGTGAAGCTATTTAGTTTAGACCATTTACATCGATTGTTGGTATTTCAACATTGAATTTGAACATGTTGTTCAACACGTTGAGGATGCACGAGCTATAAAGTAAAAACAATTGTTATTTTGTGAGATTTTAAAAAATAAAATGTTTACTTAGATACATTATACTAATACATTTACTGACTTTTTCATAAAAGTCATTTCGGTCTTGTTTATAATAGTCCATAAGATTATAAGATTTGTAAGCACTTTTTAGCATTAAATCATTGTGCTCGAAAAGTTTACGTATTTTTTGCTAAGAACAACAATTTACATTCATCCAGATGTCCCCTGTTATCATTAGCATAATTTAATGTATGAACTTGGGTCGTGAAGGAGTTGAGTTCATTGAACGCCGCCGTTCCTTGTTGATCTTGTGTTTTATATGTGATGAAACCCCTTGGTTATGTCTTTTCTTTATTGTGTTTGTTTGTTTGTTTTGGGTTTTACGTCACATCGACACAGTATAGGTCAAATCGCGACGTTCCAGCTTAAACTGGTGGAGGAAGACCTCAGGTGCCCTTCCGTGCATTATTTCAGGCACGAACGGGCACCTGAGTAGAACCACCGACGTTCCGTAAACTAGCTGGATAGATGTCTTTTCTTTAAAGAACCTGTATGTTATAATTAAGATTATTACCACACTTCAGAGAAATTTTATATATGTATATAATTATGCTTCAAACTTCGAAGAATATATAAAATATGTACTGCAAATATTTGTCCACATTCTATGAAATCATTAAAATATATGCATTCATTTCTTATTGAAAAGTTTGACTTAGACTTTTTCTAAATTTCTAATTACCTCTCTTAATTAACCTGAAATGAAAATTAGGTAATTTGTTTACAAATAATGCTTTTTGGAACTAACAATATTGACAAATCTTCATTTGAGCATAATATTTATGATATACAATCATAAAAAATTGAGTTACCGGATCTTTAAGTATAGGTTAGTGTTTATAAGTAAGCATTTACAAAATTAAATTGATACTAGTATTTGATTTTTTTTATATAACACTGTCAATTTACTAGACTGATTAAATTTACTTGATTTACCAAAGTAAATTGTGTTGTCATTCATTTGAAATACTTCAATTCTATTGTGCAAAAAGTAATTTTAAACAGACTTACAAATAAAAAAAATTTAACATTCCCATCCATGCATTTTCAATTTTCAATTTATTTATTCAGCATTTGAACAATAACATGTCAATCCAAATGTTAAGGTACAAGTTATAATAAGCTTTCATTTTCCATAATTTCTTTCAATTTATATATTTATTTGGCATCGACGATAAATCACTCACGAGACCCAAGGTAAACTTTGTAAATATCCATCGGAATTTACCTGTAAAGTTCATTTATAAAAAAGAGTGGGGCAGTCTTTTTATATTTTAGGCAGATTTATATTTTATCATAAACATTTTACAATATCAGCTGTTTGACAATCGCCATTTGAGCAGTCCTTTTTTTTGAAATACAAAGTCAATTAAGCTCAACTTGACAAAGAAATGGCATAATGTCAACTTTATGTAAAGGTAGAATGCGTGGCAATTTATGAAAAATGTTTAAGTAAAAGTGTATCTTGATCAAGTATGCATGCATGTTCAGTTTCGATGCTCGTACATTTCTACACGAGATTTATCAAGCTTCTGTTGTGACACTCTTATTGTATTTGTTATGTTTGAATGTGTAATTTTTTATGTTTGAATTTTGATGTATCATTTTGGAAATGACGAAAAACATGATTATAAAATGACAATGTTTAATCTTATAAAGTCAAGCAATATTAACCACTTATTTATGTTTGTTTGGAGTTTTTTTTTCTTTTAATAAATCAAATAATTTCATAACGTTCTATTGTTTCTTATTATCAATTTAAAGTCGTAATGTGCACCCAGAATAGCTAATAAGAATCTTGTATTTCTGAATGCTTAAAGTGAAGATGAAGAGAGGAGTCGGGGAACTCATTTGTTCAATTGTTTAGATAAGATTAACATTAATTTTATTTTGATAACAAGAATAATATTTAAGGAGTGCTTGGAATTTGTAGAGTAAAGACGTTTTTTTTGCATCCTTTCTAGAACATTATCATTCAAATGATTTCAAACACACGTATCCCTGTTGTCTTAAGCTGTGTATTAGTCGAAACAGCACAGAACACATATTATTTCTAAGATGAAAAGGATATGTTCTAGCGACTGTTTCACACTGCTACATACACAGCCTTTCAAGATACAAGATACAAGATACAAGAAACTTTATTTTAAGTCGGATTACATATTACAAGAAACATTAGCTAATAAGCTATTTACCGACAATAACAAAGGCATAAAACATATTTACTAACATATAACAGTTCTGAAAATAAAACATATAAAACTATTAGCAGCTTTAAGCATGAAATAAGAGTATCATGGTTAAGAAGAACTTTACAATAAGATGGTAAATTAAGGCATAGATTGATGACATGCACAGTACATATTGTATTAAAGGTAATAACAGTTTCTAAAAGTAATAAATGACTGTAGTCTAGAAATTTAAGTATGATACATATAGCAATGTGAAATAAATAAAAATAATAATAAAATATAAAAAATTAATAGAATAGTAATAGTTATAAGTTAACATCTACAATTTATAAATACGTAATTGAAGGTTTCCTAAAAAATATATAAATAAATAAATAGATAAATAAAACTTACTTATAAAAAGTGCATAAAAATTTATGATAGAACTAATACAGCATAAAAAAGAAACAAGATAAAGCACATACAGGGTAACAAACAAAGTTAACTAAAATTAAGTTGCATGCACAGCCTAATGGAATGGGGAATAAGGAGTTTTAATATGAACAAAGCATACAAATCATACAACAAAGATTCAACTAGCATAAAATATAGGGTTTAAGAAAAATTAACACACAACATATATTACATATTTATATCGTTATTTACATCAACCAACATTTTAATTTCTTTAATTTTAATATTCAAAAATATAGTCATATTTCCTCCCCATACCGTTATAACATTTTTATGGTCTTATGTCTTATATGGAGAAATCCTTACCCTCTTCCTGTATTCAAAATGCGAAACGCATGCGGTATCAACCTGATATAACGTTTTTTTTACAGATTTTCCTCTAAACTTAAATCATTAAAAAGACACACTGGCAAATGACAGCCGGATATATTCACTATCCATGAAACTATACATCTTGCCTTTTCATTTATAAATGCCCTCACATAATATATTTGTCATACAAAGTAATCAAAAATGAGCCTCTTATTGCGTGTAGGCTCTTCTGTCAATGACAAGGAAATATTTATCCAAGCTTGATTGAAAAACCAGATCATGCAACATATATTTATATCACAATCCGCTACCTGGAACATCTATAGAAACGATGTCGTTTAAGAAATCTTGGCTTTGACCCAAAAAGAGCTCGAACCAACGAACTCTTGGTTGGTAGGCAGACATCTAAACCATTCGGCCAGTGCTCCCCTTGAGAGATATTCATCGAGCAAAATACTCTATGACAACTTACTGTCTCCTTACACCTTTTGATGTTTCTGTCAGAAAAAAGTAGGTAATATGACATTGTGCGGAAGAGCTGTAGGATACACTCTACCAGCGTGGTTGCCTAGGAAATTTTTTTGTGATGGAATAGGAAAGAACGAAGTATCTAAAAAGTCCCTAAACGGAAAAATGAAATGAGTGAAAATGAGTCTGTCCATAGACAGTAGTGGTAAGTACAAAGTTATCATCCATCACCTTCCTCCTAGCACCGGCATGAGGAGAACCAAAACCAACTTTCTGCATATTCTAAATATCCTAAGAAAACACAATATTGTCTAGAGCTAGTCATTTTCTTTTCAGATAGTTGAGTCAAGCTATCGATGTAAATGTCAATGAAATGGATAAATGGGTGTATGGTATGTATGTTGATATCATTACATGCTCCAATGACTGCTTAATAGTGACATGCTTCATATTTTGGTGTAGAAAAACAACATTTGGCCTTTACTGTGAATAAACGTTATTAAACTTTAAGATGTTATTTAACACAATTAAGGTTGTCTTCACATTCTTTGAAAATTCAAATAGGTCGATACGATACCTAGAGAAACGAGGGAAATCAACGTCATTGTATATTCTGTGATAAGCACGACATTGAAGACGAATATCATTTTATTTTGATTTGCACATCAGGAAATTGTACATTTGCCAAAAAGGACGAATTTTGTATATACTTAAATTCGTTGATTTTCTGTTTTGCAAAATTGCAAAAAAAATGCAAACGATGTTATACAAAACAATCTTAAAGCAGACGACATAAATTTAGTTGCAACTTAAATAAGTGTATTGGCCTATTCCCCACGATTTATATTGATTTTGCAGTACGTTAAGCTATTTCGAATTATTCCATTTCATGGACTGAGACATGCATAGGATATGTACTATAAATATAGAAATACGATACTATACTGTACCGAAAGTCAGATTTCAATCCCATTATTGTAATCAAAAATGTATTTTGAATTGGGAAAGATTGGAAAATTGTACATATTTTTATCCATTGATTTTATTTGCTGCCGCTAATTGAAAACACTCATGAACGTCACATTATCTCTCAAGTGATATGTGTAAAATATCATTGTGTTATTAAACTGGAAATTAAAGGATGAAAGTATGCAAGAATAGATTAGGCACACTTAAAAGTTCAAAGTCGAATATTTTCAAGAAAGTTGTCGTGCACGTGGTAAAGGAAGCGGTAAAGGCCTCGTTATAAAGGACGTGGTAAAGGCCTCATTGTAAACATACAACATCTGACATCTATTAATCTACATGGATATGATTAAATTTTGAGTGTATAAAGTAATCATTATCAAGTCATGTTTAATGAATGCGAATCGCTTGTATTCATTCGTTATTATTATTTTGCAATAGAATGTCTTGTTTACCGTTTATTAGAATTAGAAAGGGAAAGAAATATGTTGTAAATAGTGCTCAAGAATGTATGGTGTCTCCAAATGAGCCATATGTAACTTACAGGTAATGTTAACCTTACTTACGTAAAACCACCAGCAATATAATTAACCCATTTCTGACAAAAATGTATCTATTTGATTATTTTTCACTAATAAAGACTTCAGTTGCTTCATTGGCCAGCACTTTAGCCTGTTTTGAAATGCTTAACTGAATTACTTTAGAATTTGGCATAGAAACCCCTTATATAAAAAAGTTAAATCGAAAGTGAAAGTAGGATTAGTTCATTGGTTACATGTTTAAACAGATAACTTATGAATAACTTCCTGCTTTGTAAATATCTACATATCACGTGATCTGCAGGTTTAAACATCGTGTAATAGTTTCTGCTGAATTGCTTAATTATGAAGCCAGATTGGATTAATGGAAATGAATATGCAGTTGCTTTTGTTTCCAGTGCAACGGATGGACAATCATCATCCAATGTACCAGATATACAAAATTCGTACGTAATTGTTTCGTATTATACTTTCGTTTTCAATTTTTAATGTTTACTACAATTCACAAATCAGTTAATCTAATATAAGCTAGAGAGGTTTGTCATTGACAAATCAAAACTTTGTTATAGTTGTGTAAAAGCATGAATTCAAGTAACTGATAAACAAATATAAATTTTAAACCGTTATAAGCTTTAATATAATAAGTTAGAAAAAAGTGTGAACTTGCCCTACATTTAAAGGTTGTTCATGTGTACATATTGAATCGGTTAATACGGTAATGCTAATGTGTACGTATCTATTTGGTTACAATTAATTGTAAACATGTTTATATTTTGTCGAATCAAATATTATTTTTAAATTGTGCAAACAGGTTTAAAGAAAAAACAGTTCAAAATGGACGGAATGAAGAAAAGGTATGGTGTCCTTTGGCCTAATAAAACCATTGCAATTAAATTTTTTATAATTTACAAATTTTATCACCTATTTTTGATGATACATTAATAATCGAATGTTTTAGACATTTCTTTCATTATTATCATTAATACTTTGCTCAGATTCCCCTAGAATATAGATTTTCTTGGGGAGAGAGAAAGCAAAAATAACTAATATATGTTAAAGTATTATTTGTTTTAACTGTAATATCCTTTTTGCATTTTCAGCAAAATAAAAGTACCGGGAGAAGAAGCAATAATGTTGGCCAGCCAGAGAATGTAAGAGAAGAATATGAATTACAAAGTCGGTAAGAGATGGAAGGAGCTCTTTCTTGTTTTCTGAAATATATAATCGTTTCTATATGGTTTCTTTTAAATCATAGCAAAATATAGGTACTTAAATTTACTATGATTAAAATTGAAAGCGGACATGTTTTTGAATTATACTTACAGGATATTATTCTATAATAATGAAGTGTATGTATAAATGGTTTAATGTTTTACATTAGAAACAGATATGAAGGAAATACTGCCCAAAGTGGTGGAAGACATGGTATATTAGAAAGGGTATGTTAAAATATTTACAGCTTCATTTCTACATTTTTAACAATTGTTTTTAGTATGACTTTATTTACTCTTGTAATGGTTCATTATTTTTTTTCCTTTATCATCTAGTGACCTCAGATTCGGAGACAAAATATTATTACCAACTATTCAATCATTGAGTGTAGAATGATATCAAAACCATTTAATAACAACAAAAAACATATACTTTAGAATTATGTGGCTGTTATAATATAATCTATTTTACAAATTTAGCAAAATGAAAGACCGAATGAAGCCTACCATACACAGGAACTAAAGCGAGAATATGATGCAAATTTGCTACAAATAACTCATGAAAATGAAGCATTACAAGAACAATATAAAACACTTGAAAAAGAATGTGAACATCTGAGGAAGGAATGTGAACAACAAAGAAAAAAGAACAAGGATTTGGAAAATCGGTAAGCTCGGAATAAAGCATTTTTATTTTTAGGAAATGCTTTTATTTCTTTTCTTTCTTTCGTTGATGCAAAATACATAAGTACAAAGTTGATATCGAAACAGACGATTTAGAAGACGGTATGAATAATTAAACATATACCAATATCATTGTGGAAAAAACATAACACCATATCTTAATAACATGGATTGATAAATTAATATTCGTGTAAGAATTTTAAATTTGGATGGTAATACCTTATCAAAATGTCTTATTATGTCCACAGATCAATGTCATTGACAAGAGCAATGTCAAGAATAAACGATTCAAAAGGAAACTTTGAGGATGTAAATGAAGAAGTAAATAATACGAAACTATCCCAAAGATTTGAATGCTTGTACTCTCAAAAATGGGTATTATTGATAAAGTGGATGTTAAAAAATTGTCAAGCCATGCCTGAAGTGGAGAGAATATCACATATCACGAATTTAATGAAGGTATTTTATAAACAAAATATTTCACTTTCACTTATTTAATGTTCAAGATGTTAATAATACGTTTAAATGTTGCTCCCAGACTAATGTTTTCAGAGACCTGTGGTCATTTTTTTACTTTGTTTTGTTGCCTTGTTGTGTTGGTTCTATGTTCTTTATAAAAAAGATACGTTTATAACCTAATAAGAAAAGTAAAATAAGTAAGTAAATATGGCAAATTATGTAATTTATAGCATCAAAATATTTATGATTCAGTTTCAATAATAACAAGAATTTGTTCTTAATTGTAGATGGCATATCAAGAGTGTAAAACATTGGCAGAAGAGAAGTTATGTGTGCTTCTGCATGTCAACAGTCTAAAAGACAACCCTATAGATGAAGATGTAAGAACTATTTCAGTTCTATTTTCACAGTAAAATAACGAAAAAAAATCAGATTCAACCTTTTCATTGTTTATTTTTTCTGGTCCATTTCAAATACAAAAGAAGACCTAACATTCTAATTGATAGATGTGTCTTGTCAAAAGTCAATAGGAAATAGATAATGCCTAGTTACTTATTTGCAATTCTTTGTCGACATAAAAATTAATTCAAAAGAGCATATGCTTTTTGACACTACAAGTCTGACAAACATACGACATACGACAATTCTAACAATGAATTCTTGAATATATGTTTTAATAAAATATACTTCATCCCTTCTCAGCTGGCAGATGCCAAAATTATGTTCAAGAAATATGTTTTTGGAGATTATGTAAAGCAAAGAATTGTTCAGGTAATTGAATATTAATTGTTTCATTCAACACCTTTCTGATGTCAAAAAATCTTATTATTCGTAACTTTATTGAAATATTCATATACATTGTAATTTATCAATATTCATGATTAAAAATGAAAATAGAATATGCCTTTCTTATTAAAATTTTTAACTAACATATTGTTATTTGATTTAAATTTTTTGTTTAATTTGCATGTACTTTCTTAAGCAAACCGACAGTGTATTTATTGACGTTTTATAAAATGACGTAATTACACTTTTTAAGAAATTATGCAAGAAATGATAATTTCAGGAGATTACAGATAAGCTTATGCAAACAGAGGATGTGGGTGCATTATGCTCCGGGGATAATACCAGTACAGCAAGGGAAAAATTAAAGACTTTTCTGGACGAATACATTGAATGTTGCTTGCTTTTGGCAGTATCGAATCCAGCAATGGTTCTAGATTTTGACGTCGTCGGTAAAATGTTTAGTGACTGTGATGACCACTTTAAAATGTATTCTACTAAAAGACCTGTCGAGGATATGACTAAAATTGAAGGTACAATATGTGAAGTTGTTTGGCCATGTGTGCAACTCGAAGAAGGTCCTGCAATTTATATGAAAGGTGATGTTGTTGTTGTCAAAAGGGGAAAACAGGCATAGTGAATAGTTATGCATAAATAAATAATTCAATTTATCTGTAAGAACTCTTTTTGAATGAGATGTTTGTTAAACGTTCTGAACTCTATGACGTGTTCTGTTGAAAATGTTGAAAATACTTGTGTCATACTTGTGTAAAAATATATAAATATACATGTATAACATGTAGTTTGCTTTTCTTTTTGATTGCCTTTACATGAAGCGATTACATTTATTGGCTTTATTAACTCAATGCAAGTACTTAACCATTGTGCACGTGATATACCGTAGTATTATAATAAAACACCATGCAGAATATAAGTTGTTGTTGTTTTTGGTTTTTTATTGTTGTTGTTGATAATGTTTTTTCGTATCAATTATTTGATATTGCCTGAACATACTTCCGTTAGTTGAGTATTCGATAGATTAACAACAGCGGTTGTGCTTATAGAATTGATGTACCTTTCATATTCTTTCATATATGCCTGGGTATTGATGTCCACAACCTTTATCCCCCCTTATCAGTAGAGTTGTATAGCGTGCTATAGTCTTCAAAAGTGTAGCCGCTTTTTTGAAATGAATTTACCTCGACCTATATTCACCTTAAGGAAACGTTCTTGTGGATTGAGAACTAAAGCTAAAAATAAATACTAACAACAATATTTTTAAAGAAAAATCTGAAGAAAAGAAAATGAGTACTATATACTTTTGATTTTCTGTAATGAAAAGTTTACAGAAAATAAAAAAGCATTCTACATCTTATATTGAACGGTTATTTCTATTGCATGCATAATAATAATATCATTGGCATATATATATATATATATATATACCGATTGCTCTTTGTTGTCAATGACGCCAGTGCCATTGACATTTGTATTATAATGAACAAGTAATCAGCTTTCACAAATCTGTTTTGATTGAATTGAATAATGTTTATATACTGAAACTCTGCACAGAGGAGATCTTTCATTAAGAAAAAAAAAACAATTGTAAATTGCAGTCACGCTATAATTGGGGTCGTTAACGAGATAAAATGTAATGAGTAACACCTCACACGCAACTTAGCACCAGCTTTAATCGTCACAAGACTAAAGGTATAAAAAACAAATGATCCCGAAGAACCAGAAACATATAACCACACTGAGATAAAGAACAAGGCGGCTTTTTGTGGCTGCCGCACAGCAACTGACACACGCTGTTTTGAGTATAAAACCTCTGGAAAAGGGAAGTTCTTCAAGCAATGATATCAAATCAAAATCAATCATATCAGAAACGAAGGTTTCAGTGAGTCTGTTTATTAGATATAAAGTAATGTGCAACATAACTCATGCACCATTGAATTTGCTAAGCGTTATTCAATCGTTGACAAGTAAAATTAATGATATCAAATGGACCAGAATTAGCATGCAGCTAAGTGAATACACTTCCCAGTTACTTCGAAGAAAGCGAGCTGTGGTGGGACATTTGACCGAATGCGCTTCAGATTACAGAAAAAAGAGCATCACTGATGTACGAGCAACTTATTACGGCTTCCTCACAGCATTTAGCACTTGTTGTAGTGAGTATTACATTTTTTAAATGGGACTTCCTTCGAACAAATATGTACATGACTCATCCACATTGTGTGAACCCATAACTTTTGTTTAGGGATTTTTGACATAAGACGCGTACAACTTTTTATATAAAATTCATAACATCTTTCCGTTGGGTTTCTTTCTGTCCAATAATATAGAATTTACATGAAAGTTTGCTTTGTCATTAAAATATGAAACAATTTAAAGTTGAAACCGTACTCAAGACGACCCCCATAATTAAGAACAAGACTTAATATAAAAGTAATGTAGTTTCCTGTTCTCTATATCTAGACCGCTGTTATAAATATATAAGACTCGAAAACAATATCCACTCTTGGGACACGCCAATGTCAAATATCAAAATGACACAACTGACACCCCCTCGCCCCAATTACTTTTAATGGATTTACAGCTGCTTTAAAAAATCATACTCATATCTAGTGCAATATGATACAAAATTATTATTTAGGGATTTACAATAAAACAAAGATTTAGTACATACTGTACACTAATTCCACGGAGAATTTTGCAACTGTAAATTAGCCAAAAATTCGTTTCAATCGTCTTATGCCCGGTTCGAGAAGAGAAAATAATGACTAGAACAGCTAAGAAAGGGAAACCCTATCGAACACAATAGTATCAATAAGGCGATCTGTCATATTTAATTTCATATATTTATTGAAAAGTTGTTAATATAAATATCTAGAAAATATCATTATTGTGTTTTTATTTTTACTCTGACTGATATCTTTTCCCAACACTTCTTTCCATCGCGCAATCGAACAAACCTCTACCTATAACGGAAGCTCTTCTAAAGTGTCAATCAGACAGGCTACCAATGAAAATTCTGTCTATATTCAGTTCTTTACTGTTAATTTTAGCGGAAGTCAAGGTGAAATCAGACGGCCTTCGGCCGAAAAAGATTATATTCAAGAGTTCAATTAACAAACGATTTATTTACGATATTAAGCTGACACAGTATTCACACTGCATCTGTGCCCAAAAACAATAGGGGTACTTGAAATGGTTGTTGTATGTATTGAAGTACGGGTACTTGTAATACATGTCTTATCAAATGCAAGAGAGACCACTTTGTGCATACTTCAAAAAGCGGAAGTTTATTATCGTATGTACATTTCAATTTATATTAAATTTGGTTTGATTATTAAAACAAAAGGTAAACTCTATGGTAAGTTTTTATGTCATCTGTAACTTTAATGTAGCAGTAATTATATCTAATATTTACTATCACTATTTACTCTCAATTATTCAATTATCTTACAGATACAATACGATAAAGGAAGTGTTTTTGTTGTTGTTTGTTGTTTTGTTCTTGTTGTTTTTTATTTATTTTTTTATCTTTGTAATCTGGATAACTTACTTTGATACAATTACGAGTGACATCAAATATCAGTATCATCTTATATCAAATATTTAATTTTAATTTGGTTGTCCAACTAACACGCTTTCCTGGATAACTAACTAGAAATTATCGTTTTCACCGTAAGTGACCGACTAATAATTCCAAATGATATGATATCTGTCTCAGCGGAGAGACAAATGACCATACGACTCAGTGTCCGAGAATTGTCACGGATAAATGTCGTCTCGATTGAGGATCGAACCACCCAACCTAGATTACTAATCCTATGTGAGCTAAGCGGGCGTACTAAGTTACACTTTCTTTATAAAGTACATATTAATGCAGGAAGTGATGTTGTTAAAATAAAATACATTATTTTGTAATAACCACACTGCCTAATTATGGAATTCATACCATTGTATTTTTCGTCAGTATGTCATGTACTCTATGCATTTACTACGCATGTATTACAGATATGGAACTACGTGCTGATTGTGTTAAGGACACTGACCAATTTCAAGCTTTATTAGATGAGATTGGCCCATGTTCAGCTTCTGATCACGGTGGTTTGGGCGGAACGACACTGGTGGAAGAAAGCTCAAGGTATTTGAACCTTACAAGTGACTCTCTAGATTGAAAATTTGCATGCCTTCAATAAGAGATTGTCAACTTAAGCAGTAGCTAAAGTAGGGATTAGAATATTAAATATCTTGTATCATTTATTTGCAAACACCATTCAATTTAAACTTTTAAAAAAAAATACCCATAACAATGATATTGTGTATAAGCTCCTCCTATATTAATATTATCATGTAGCCTATTCAAAACAGCGGCTTGAATTTGATTCTGATATTTAATATGGTGATATTTTATTAATGCCTTAAACGTAATTAAGGAATTAAAAACAACAAAGATCTGATTAAACATTTGTTCTTTTACAGTGAACATAAAAGGCATGACAAACATGAACGTCAAAGGGTTGGTTATTACCTTTTTGAACTTTTTAAGATACAGTTTAGAAATTTGGAAGTACCGAATAATGTACAATGTAAAGACTTTTTAGCATATAACAAATATAAACATTTCTTCAAATAAATGTTGCCCTAGACATTGGTGATGGTAAAATACATACTAATAATTTACTGGAATAAACAAAACACTTTTTTCACACCATTCAATATATTACTCTTTCTCGGCTTCGTTTTATATAACTTTCTTGCAATTTTTTTGTAGTATTAGGATTTTAGTATGAAAGATATATATCTGAGAAGTCAACAGTATAAACATGCTCGGATGTCTGACTCAACAATTTAGACCTTATATTAACGCGTTTAGTATTTCTTAAAACAGGACATAAAAAGAATTTATACGGAAATAAAAATTATTTAAAAAAAGTTATAAAAGTTAACGTGATTCTTCCATAAATGATTGTCTTACTATATTATATTTCAGAGGGAAGAAATTGGCGGAATGGATGTGATTGATGAAATGGAACAAATAATAAAGGATAGGGAATGTGAAGTAGAACGCTTAAAAGTGACAAATAAAAAGGCTAAACAACGAATTCGTGAACTTGAAAGGCGGTAATAAAATGATAATAAGTACTTCGAAGAACATAATGCAAAATTGAAACTAAAATTGAAGAATACGTAATTACTTAAAGAGATCATTAACGGGAAATCATGACCGACCTACTTAGGAAATTAAAATCTTTCCTCATAAAGTAATTTCACCGATATATTAATTTTCCAAGTAGTTGTTTTAGTAGACACAATCACTTTTAAGTTTGGGTAAACATTTAAGACCGAGATATGATTTTTTTTTAATTTCATTTTTTTAATTATTTCGTCATGCAATATTAGTCTGTCATGTCAGTTGTTTTCAATGTAAGTGTAATGATAACGATTCATTACAGCATAGGAAGTCTATCAAACAAAGCCTTTAATTCCTTTACAACCACCCCCATTCCTGCCCCCACCCCTTTCTTTGTCGCCTTAGGGCTGCTTTTAATGATTTGAGGCATCAGAATTACAGGGACCGAGCCTAAGAGGCGACTTAATAGTTTCGAAGCATCTCTTAGCTTCAGCAGGTAGTTTGTATCACCCGAGTTTAGACAAAATTATCATTCTTGTTTCGGCGCCTTATGAAGTAAATTGTGTTGGTGCGCCGTAAAACCAAACAAAAAAATCCTTTACAGGTCGCATGCTATAACAACTGAAATGGCAAAGGTTATGGAAGAGAAAGGAAATTTTGAAAATTTAAATGACGAGTTCTCCAACTCAAACATCACAGAGAAGTTCTATAAACTTTATGACAATGACTGGGTTTATCTGTCTAGACGACTAGGAAAGCTGGGCGTCTCATTAACTGAGCTTGAACTTATACATCACCTAACACAGATGATGAAGGTAATCGTGATAATTGTAAGCCCATTAAAAATGCAATCGGAACATATCGGCTATTATTCATAATAACCTAAATATAATATGAATAGACTTTCCTTTCGGTAAAATAATGATTGAAAATATGTCTGACAATCATTATCAATTCAAAAATGCCCACTGATGTACAATTATAACCAAATACGAATTATTGTAAGCATTATTTACTTTCGTTTTCAACAACTATGATCATAACTATATAAAATGTACTGATTACTTTTATTTCTCTATAAATTTACTTAATTTAGTTGGTCTTTTACTAGATATACTGACGTAAACTTAGTCAATCACCTCCTAACATTAAATCACTTTTTGTTTACATGTTTAGTTTTCTTAGCGTAGGTTAGACCGTTCTGCGTATTCTTACTATTGTGTTCGAGGTTGTTATCCGAAGTTTGACGGAAAGTGCCAGGAAGTTGCGATTGTTAGAAATAATACTTCCATGTATATGGCAAAGTATTATAGTGATATATGATAGAAAAAAAAAATGGAATCATAAAATAGTATAAACATATATTTATTTTAAAAAGTATAAACATGAATTATTCCATTGTAATGAAAGGATAAGAGCACAATATGCTGTATTTTTAGCTTAAACCAACTTGTGTAAAGTAACAAGGTTGAAAAGAAGTTGTTTTGATAAATCTTTTTGTAAATTGTTTTTCATTTTCATTTATTATTTCATTCATTTTGTGAAAGGTTATTGGCTTTTTACTTTGAATTATATTATCTGTATATTTGAATACTTTTAGTTTGTCTATGAAGAATGTGGAAAAGCTGCTGATTCTCAGATTCGTCTGTTTTTCTTGCTTACTGAAAATGAACCAACACCTCTTCAAGAAGATGTAAGATTTCTTTCTAAAACTTACGGTAATTCAAAGATTTTCTTCACTTGACAAAGCTATCGGTGCTCGTTTGTGCCTGAAATAATGTTCAATTGGACACATGATGTCTTCCTGTACCAGTAAAGCTGAAAAATCGCCATAATTATGACCTATATTGCGTTGGTACGACGTAAAACCCAACCGGGAAAAAAGATATTAAGTTCTAAAAACTAAAAGCTTGGATTGATTTGATACTTCCAAAATTAAAATGTATCTAATTTTAAGTACTATATTCTATGTTTAAGAAGTAATAGTAATGTACATTTATTTTACATGTTTCTTTAGAATCCAGAACTATTTTCTTTACGAAGAAAATATGCCCGGACAGAGGCAGTACGCAATAGACTGGTACATGTAAGTAACTTTAGAAATTTTATTATTATTATTATTATTATTATTATCATTATTGTCGTATTATGTATAATTCAGTTTTTAATTTACAAAAAGACTTTAGACTTATGAAAATCTACATGAAAAATTGTGAGTAATAGGAAATGTTTTGTTACAAGCTAAAATAATGTGTTATTTGTTTTTGACGCTCCATAAGAAAATTATTCTAGAACTTTACTTGAAAATTTTGTTGGAAAGGGATAATAGCATTTGTTCGCTCTTTGTGTATTCTTGAGTGCTTTCTTGTGGTTTTTACTTCTATTCATCAGCAAATGCTGGTTTTCTATGAATATAATATAAGTGTTTGGGCGCTGCGTTAACCAAGAGGGCAGCTAAGCCGGTTTGATCTGACTTAATTTTTTGTGTACAGTTGCAAGAACCTGATATTTGCGATTTTCTCTGCTTTTATAGGAAATATGGTTAAAACTAAAGACGACAGAAGAAATAAGTGCTTTCGATGTCGGGGCAAATAAAGCAGAGGTAGTCAATGATTTGAAAAAGTTTTTCGACAAATATATCGATTGCTGCTGGTTGATAATAGTTTCAAACCCTCCATTAAGACTAGATTTTGATGTTATTGGCAGAAACCATTCGGAATGTATTGAACATTTTAGAATATACTCACCAAAACAGCCAGTTATAGATCCGATGAAAGAAGAAGGTACCATCTACGAAGTTGTTTGGCCTAGTATCTGTCTTCAAAATGGTGGCGGTTGCTACAAAAAGGGAGAAGTTGTGATAATTCAAACTGCAAAGAAAACAGACAATGTATGCAATAATGATAATATGAGACACAATAAACAGATTGTAGGGAACAAAAACAACGACCAAATAGCAGTCAGGCACACGATGGATTAAGAAGGATGAAATGGGATCCTTCTAACAAAAGCAAAAATTGTCTCTAAAACTACTATTACAAAGAGTATTTCCGGGATTTGTTACCAGTGCTTTATTATACATTATATTTTGAAATATATATGACGTATTAGCATGACCTTTTTATGCTATGTAATATAGAGAATACATAGTTGATGTCTGAAAGGTTTATCCGGTGAGAGAGAGAGAGTGCATCTTGGCGAGCTTTAGCGATTTTCTTGCTTATGACTGGTTTAATCATGTCAAATCATTTTTCTGTACGTAATCTGCTGTGGTCATAGTGTTATTTTTACAATAGCTTTAGCTCCTAAATTTTGTTTGCTATTGCTAATCATGGTCATGCAACTACATAGAAAGGTAAAGAAGCAGACGCTTGTCTTGGTTGAGTCTATTATGTTTTGTTTAGGGGTGAGTTGTCATACACAAATTTACAATTTATATGCATTTATTTTTTTCCAATGATTGTTATTATCTTAAATGCTTCTGGGATCGTTGTTTTATCAATTCATTTGTAGATAAGATTGTTATATGTCTATTAACAAAATAATTTTAATGAACACGAAATAAGTTCACACCTACATGTGTATTGATAACGTGATGGTTTAAGCCAATGAAAACACATCAATATTATTACAGTCAGGCAGAGAAAAAGAGTAAATAGATAATCTTTATGTAGCAAACAAAATTCGAATTGCAAGTATTTTTTCATATCCTTTCGGCAGGATAAACTGTCCGAGGAGGGCCATGCATTTTCGTATCGTAAAATGGCTGCCATTTACAGTATCAAGTGATTATCCCAAGCACCACCGCGACTTAGCGCGGGAATTATAAATATAGTTAACCTCAGCCGTTGCATAGGATGAAAAATACCTTTTTCATATTTTTTTGTAATAAATATTTACAAACTGTGTCTTTCGGCGTTTTTTTATCAATTTAAAACCAATAATGATGTTAATAAATCTGCGACTATGATTTACAATGAAATTCTACTTTTAGTGTTTTAAAAAGGTTTTTAATTTCCTCTGGAACATACGATACGTTATAGTACATCCCAGATTTCCTGTAATTTTATTTTGTGATTATGCTTCAAAGCAGGCAATTGACCGTGCATTTTCTTTTCATATTTTGATTTCCTTGAAATCATTTTTCTCATCTGAAGGCATGCAGCTTTAATATGATGATACATTAATTACATTCCATGAAAATGTTTAAAGATATAAAATATCTCATGACATGTTTGTTCATTTTACATTACACCTTTAATGTAACAAACATAAAAAGTCTTCACAAAAAGTAGTATGCAATCGTACCTTTATTACATACGAATGTATGTAATATTTTTCTTGTTTAAAAATGGTTTTATTCTGATAAACAGCATCAGTCTATATGAAGTTTTGTTTTGCTGATAATCATGTGACATAATGACTGGAGATAGGCAATGCTTTATCCAGCTGATAATATAAAAAGAAGCAGGATAAAATGCACTTGATTGCCTATCTATTTGAGAGCGGGGTAGTGTTAAGCGTGTTAGAATTTAAAAAATAACTTTTAAATAAATGGAAGCATATAGAGCGGGGGCCGATGTTACCGAACACTGAGGCAAAAAAATTTAACTGTTCGTTAATAAACGCCAATTTTATATATGTTTTCCGTTTTACATGTATCATTTGAGACTTAAAGCAGTTTCAAACGAAAGAACACCTAAAATCTTCATTTAATGATACTAAAACATATACAACAATAGATCTGTGCCACAAATTAATTGAAAAAGCAACAGAGTAATCGGTAATTACATTGCTTCAGTGACATTTCTCAATTCAATTCAAAATATTCGCATTCAAACTCAAGTCTACATAAGAAACACAATCAATATGAAATCTACGAAAACATGCGATGCGATACATTCTACAATCATATATTCTCACAAGCAACATAAATGTCTGTTAATAGGGACAGCATCATCATCACCATATCTGACGAATTTTCTAGAGTAGCAAGCTATCTCTCTCTACCTTATTTCCCGTGTCGTTCTTCTTTCCTCTTCTTATGCTTCTCTTCTCTCTCAGCTTTTTTCTTGGCATCAGCCTCTAACTTAAACTTTAGCTTCTCAAGTCAATCTTGCTTTCTTTTCTCTTTGGCAAGCTCCTCTGCCTTTCTCTTTTTCTTTTTTCTTGCATATTCCTATAGGCTTGGCCTATAGTTTGACTACTTTTGATTTAGCCTTTGGAATTGGGATCTTGAAAAGTTTCGATACGTCTCTATATTAGTTGCAGAGTCTTGCCATTTATTCAAGTTATTTCCTGTATATTACATGAAGTCAAACTGACTCTTTCAAGACTTCCGCGCCCCTCTGTCCTCTCCAGGTTTTGGTTCGATGCCTGCTGGTTACCCTGCTGTTGTGGCTTGATTGATGATGGGGCTGCGTCCTGTGAACGCTGTCTTTACCTTGCTAATCTTCGTTCTCATTTTTTTTCCGTCCAAATCATTTTACAAAAATGATTACAATGAAACTGCAGTATATATGTATGATTTAAGTATCGCATATATGCCGCTGAAACTGTCCATAGCGACGTTTGTATATGGAAGCCAGGATTATAAAACTAGACAAGGTGAATGTATTTAACTTTTTTTTTTAACAGAAGTCATTATTCAACAAAAATCAAGACGATGCTGTTGGTTATTAAATAATTTGGTCTATTTGGTCTTTTTGCTGCATTTAACGTTATGTTAATTAAATAACTGAAATGACTAAAATAATGAATTCAAATTTGTCGTTATGATTCCCCACCTGCTCATATCACGAAACTAATAATATTATTACAAATAGAAATAAAATAATTTTATTTGTGAATATATTTTTCATACCGACAGCATGTCTGTCGCAGAGAAATCACGCAAAGGTTACAATATTTCAGAAGGACAAAAATCACCCTCCTTCCCCTCACCGAAGGAGAAAAGCTCCTACGAAAACTAAAAATGTTAGATCGAATATGTTCGATAGAATGAACTTCAATAACACGCGGTTGTAGCTATTTCTCGGCACTAAATGTCCAAAGGACAAGAAAAACACAGCATTAAAACGACTGCGATACAAACAGACTAAAAATGTTTGATTGAATCTGTTCGATAGAATGAACTTCTAAACACCCGGTAGTAGCTACTTCTCGGTATTTAATGTCCCAGAACCCTTTACAACTGCGATACAAACATTAAATACAACATCTACTTGAATAAATTTAATACTCTTGAAATAAATGACACAATTTCAATGGTTATTAAAACTAGAAACGAAATTGATATTGTTTGAATATTCATAGAACAAATTATACATGTACAAAATGGTGCATGTTAATTATTTCTATAAAGAGATATAACTGAATTATCTTAATTTGGTGACCCTGCATGAAACTGTTAGAATGTAAAATTTTCTTTCAGTCATATTCATTATTTTACTGTACGTGAACTTATATTTCTAACTAAAATTTTCTTCTCTTTTCCATACGATAAACTGTTTTATTTTACTTTTGCGAAAAAACGTTGTCCTAATTAAAATATATATGTATTTTGATTAAGGAAACGTGTATCAATTAAAACTAATTAAAACAGAAACAAAATGACCTCGCAATCAGAACACGAAGTAGGGCGGAAATTCAGGTGTTAATTAACGAACAGTTTGCAAACATATATAGCGAGTCTCACGTCTGGTGAAATTGACAGATCAACACTTACAGACATGGCTAATATTTGGATTGGACTGTGTTCGATACTTGGTAAGTATTTCATTACCTCTTCATCTTCATTTAAACCATTTAAGGCAACAGAGATAACTAGATATACAAACACTCTCACTTTCCATTTTGTTACATTTTGAAATACGTTTCAGCACAAAAAAGTTTTTATCAAAAAGTGATAAATGTGATATGGGGAAACTAGCAATTTGTTTTTACACTTTAATAACAATTTATTTTATCATGAAATAGTTTCTTTATAAATAAATAAATAAATACAAAAAACAATTATTAATAAGATAACAATATGAAGAAAGACTAATTAAAGCAGAATAATTGTGTACAATAGTATATCTTAAATAATCGAGGCGATAGCCGAGGTCAGTATGATTTTCTGCCGGTGAATATCACATCTTATTATATGATCTAAATATATCTGCAATCTCATTGGTCCAAAGAGTAGTCAACAGAACTTTTTATAAAATCATATTTACTGGGTGTAGTATCATATTCACTGGCTGAATTGGATTTTCCCAGTCTAAAAATAGATTGAGACTCATATTCTATGATCATACACCGTAGACTGTTAAATACGCGTGTTACTTAAAAAATAATTGTTGCTTTTTGTTCTTTATGGCATATTTCTCGATTAAAATATCAATACATTACCATTTTACTTAAAGGCTACACCGCAATGTTGAGTATAAACTTGAATTACTTTTGTATGCGCAGCGTTCGCGAAGTCGTTGCACGCCTAACACGTGCGCCTTTTTTTCCCGCGCTTGAACAAGGCAAAATTTGTACATGTATATAAGGTTTTACTTTTTGTGATTTTTTTTATTTCTTAGCCTATTCATATAATAAAACAATTATTGACTAGTGAGCCATTAAATATGATGTGATATTCACCGGCAGAAAGTCATATTGACCTCGGCTATCGCCTCGGTCAATATGTCATCTGCCGGTGAATATCGCATCATATTCAATAGCTCACTAGTCAATAATTGTATAATATTCAATAACTCACTTAACAATAATTGTTTTATTATATGAATAGGCTAAAATTAACTCTTTCACTGCCATAGTAATTATATATGCCGTCCCTATTATTTTCGGCGTATTTGCCATATGGACGGCCTTTGCCGGTTCTATAATAATAATAATAATTATAATAATAATCATAATAAATATATAGATAATTATATCATCGACAATAATTATAATTATACTAATAAAAGATAATAATAATAATATTAATTAATAATAAAGTAATTTCTTAGAAAACCTCTGGCAAATAGGTGATCAATAAATAAATAACCCTCTTTTCCTGTTTAAATTTTGAATACTGCTAAAGCCGGTGCTGGGGGGCTTGGACGGTAACTTGCACTTTCCATTAGAAAAAATAATCTTTATGCATACAAAATTCTTCAATTGCATGTCAACAAGTTAGCCTTTTACAACATTGGTGTTAACAGGATGAATCACTTCTCAGGAATTGCCATGATCATTGAAAAAGTAATTATTTAACAGTATTGCTACATTTTGCTGGAATTTTAGCAATGATGTTGGGTTTTTTCTCTCAAAATTATTGCTATTTATTGCATACTTGAAGAAGTGTGAATCAAATATACGGAATCATATACACCTGGAAATAAGAAAAGCACACCCGGCATTTTGCCTCAATTTTGACATGATGACTACTGAAATTTTAAATTTTATTTTGGCAATGGTACGAACCTGCAACAACTGGAACAAACTCTCACAAAGAATGGCAAAATTTACCTCAAAATCGTATTAGATGCCTAATTGTTCGTATGAGGAGGAGGGTTGAGGCTATCATCTGGGAACGTGGCGGTTACATACGTTTTTTATTATTATTTGGATACATAATGTCATTTTAGGTTAGTGTTAGCAAATTGATGCTGGGTTTACATCGTAGTTTCTTCATCAGATGTACAATCCCCAAACCCAATCCGCAAACGCTGACTGAAAACGCCGAAAAACTCATATTTAAGAATTCATTTGGTGAACAGAAGCAACTAACTCTTTACAAACTGTATGGATAATATTGTCAAATCGAATAAATAATGTAAATTACGAGAACTAACGAGAAAACCCACGATGTACCCGGGCTATTGATAGTTTAGGTGTCTCAAAAGATAAAATGATTTCCTTTTCTCAACTTATATTCACATAAAGCAATACGAGCAAACGAAGTAAACACTCACTTACTATGTAATGTTGTAGCTATAGTGTGCTGTATTATATTTATGTTTCACGAGGAAATTGATTGTTTTAAAAAACTACCTAATAACTGTTGCAGCTTTGGTATGGGTATCATCTGGAAGGATACGCAGAGATGATCAAACGGTAAGCTCTTTTCATCAAGAACAAGACAAAAGTGTTGTATTTAACTTTGTTTTAAAAGAGCTCAAGTCCGAATTATAAATCAACCAGGAAATTACGCAAAAGAAAATTAAGAAATATACTAATTAAACTGAAAATTTACAACCTGTGTGTTCCTTAGCTATAGCCCGATTAGGGTTGAACAATCTTTTAACGCCTGTCGGCTATTTTTGGTCATTTTGTACAATCTAAATGATAATTCTAAATAAACGGAGAAAGTAAATGATCTTAAATTTTGCAAGAAGTTATTGATCCAGATCTAAATCAAATTTGTTGAAACTGATTCTGCATGTTTTTGTGCAAAATATGATGCATTGTGTACAGATTCTTATATCAATGTTATATAACTCTTTAGGAAGTACTTGTCAGTGATTGTCTATATTCGAAGTGGGATGCATGGATAAAATGTTTCGATGCAAATGATGACGGAGTAGTCGCCCTTGATGATCTAAAGCAGACAAGGTAGGTATATCGTCTTTATTTCATTTCATCTGTAGTTTTTGTGTTGTTTTTTTATACTTTTGTTTAAAAAAAAAAATCAAAAATATCTATATGCGCATGTGCGAAATGCAATATCCGTTACTACGGAAAAATCGTAGTGTAAAAAGGTCTATATTTCCTTATCAGCGTGTGGCGTACGCACGAAATCATTACCTAGTTGTTAAAATCCTTCATTAGTACAGTAATGTAATAACTTGTTCCGGGAACATATTATTCTATATGTATTTAGGTACAATAGTTAAGATTAAGGGCAACATTCACACTCTTACAGGCTCTATGCTATTTTAAAGTTCATTTTGATATCCAAAATTTTATATCTGGATAGTTTCGATCAGCGAGACAAGTTGTTTAACGAAATTCTACAGAAAAAAGCTAAAAGAATTCAATTACTATCATTTTCTAATTCGTTTGCTCAAACGAAAATAAATTATTTGTTCTTTTTAAAATTTATTCTTTTTAAAAACTATTAAGCATAATAAACAGCGAGACATAATTAGTATTGGTCAATTGCATTGCTATCATTAAACCGACTATTACAGTAATAAATTCAAACATAAAACATGAAAATAATTCCAAAATACTTGAATACTTGAACTTGAAGCATCACCTGTTAGATATTACTGAAAATAAAGTTCCATCAAAATGAGCTTCTTTTCTTTAAAAAAAAACTGAAGGTTTACTTGATAAGATACAAGTGTACGCAATCAAATTGTAGGGGTGAGGGCATATGATGGGGAAAATATAAATGTGAACGAATCGATGCAATTACTTCGAGTGATTTGAAACGCCTTGTTGATGCACGAAAATATCGTGCAAGACAATCTGTACACAGTTACTAGATTACAACATATCTTTATATCTTAATAGCTTTACCAAGAATAAATACATAACTTAACAATTACAGTTTCGGCTTAACTGAGACCTCCATTGACGGCAGTAATATTTCAAAACTATTTGTACCATTTTCTACACACAATATTCTTATTTGACTTGAAATTAGACAGATTTAACTGTCGAACAGCGGATAAACTTGCTATAAAAGATGACTTCTTGGAAGTTTCGTCACAGAGATGGTAATTTTATGTCTGTTAAAAGTAATGATAATTTTTCTTTTTCATTTGTCTGTATATTTTCTGTATCAACAGTGACAAATTCATCCATCTTCATGAACTCATTGAAGAGGAAAAGGACGCCGTAGAGGAGCAATTTAACAAATGGTGGACAACTATACTTCTTTGGAATGGAAATGAAATTACACCTGACGACTTTGTTACGACTCAAGCTAATGCCTTCATGCATGACCGGCATGGATTTGTTAACAGGATGCAGGTAGGTGAAGAGTTCTTCAACAGCATCCTAGACACTGATAACGATGGATTTATTTCAGAGAAGGAAGAATCCATCTTTCTGGTGGCAGTTGGTCAAACAGATGACAAGAAAAACCACGATTTCTTTGAAGGTTTCACTTCAGAAGAGAAAGGAGAACCAATTGAAGAAATGACAAGCATATGGGTCGACTACTTGACAAATGAAGAGTGTTCTGAAATTGAAAATGTCATCAGATATTTAGACCAAAAGGATTGAGTCGTCACGTCAAACTTTTAATACAGTATAAATTTTCGTTTTAAGATCAGTACTCTGCTTTTCTAAATCAATAGTTTTTCAACATCAGCTTTCGTGTATCATGGAAAACATCTACTTTGCATATTAACTCTTTAGTGGCACATACTTAAGATTAAGTTAAACTCCATTCTTGGATTTATTTAGTAAAATGTAACTTATAAGTCAAATAAACCGTCAAAATCGATTATTTTTATTTGCTTTTAATATAATATTATTGTGACGAATATTCTCAAGGTTTCGAACGAAGTTAGTGAATTTCTATAGAATACATATAACAAATGCAAACGTCTTATTACTGAAAAATAATGTGGCCCCTTCGAGCCGTATTGGGGTCACGACCATGTTTATGCCCTCATTATTGAGGGGGTGATATTTTCCCTTGTCCGTGGGTATTTGCATGTGTGTGTTCCTATGTTGTGTCACATGTCACAAGTGCTTCAGCTAGTGTCCACAAATTTAACAGGAATGTTGATCAGCATGTGAAGTTGTGCACTTGTGTTTCGTGTGTGGATTAATTCAGTATTTGTAGAGTTATTGCCTTTGATTTTGTAAAAAAAGTCGCAATTTTCAACTTGTGCCTTGTGTAACTCTAAATACTAAATATTTGACCTAGAAATTACAAATAGTTTTAAATTTCTTTCAGCGGTTCAAAAAGATACTGCGCGGACAAGACAATCTCCAAAATCATTTTTAATCTTAACCTTACTGAGGAAGCCTTAACTTGCGCTCTGCCCATCGTTTAATTATTGTAAACATTTCTGCCAACTAGTGCCAATTTCTTCGATCGGTTCAAAAGATAAGAGGACAAAAAATTGTTTAAGTAGCATGCCTCAAGATTTATGCTAATTTCATAAAATGTTTGAAAATATTTTAAAAAGTAAAATATTTTCAAGTGAACAAAGAAAGTAATTTTCACATACGGCACTTTCAATCCATGTAAAATGCCAAATAAATGACAAAATAAAAAAAGGCTTCACTGTGTTAGTCATACAGTAGAAATATGGTAAATCAGTCTTTAGTTGCATGTAACTCATTAATTGCATGTAATATATAATTTTTTATTTCAATAAAAATATTTTATGTTGATTTTTTGGCATGCAATTTTAACGAGTTGATAGATAGGAACATGACGTTTATCTTTTCGATCGTATCTTAAACTTTGTCTATAACTAAATTATTAGCTTCTAACTGATTCTTTCCTCTATAGTCTATACATGTATATAATGCTTTTATTTTTTAATTTTCTGACTATTTATTGGTAATTCCAGTAATAATATTTGTTCATACTGTCAATAAGTCAATTTCTTTCTACAGAATATACAGTTTAAACCTTAGTTAAAACATATGGCATCAAATAAATCCGATATCGGTAGTGATGAAGAGATATGAAAAAATAAAACGACATTTAATGCACATGGAGGTTTTGATTGATTGTCTGAGTTTCACATCACGCCGATACAGTATAGGTCATATGGCGACATTCAAGCTTTACTGATGGAGGAAAACCTCAGGTGCCCTTCCGTGCATTATTTCAGGCACGAACGGGCACCTGAGAACATCCGACGGTCCGTAAGGTGACTGGATAGCTTTATTACTCGAAAGATTCCAAAGGCCATGTCGGGATTCGAACCCTAAACGGTGAGGGGCAGTACATGGAAGGATAAATAACACTTCAATAATTCACCATACATGTCCCCATGGTGTTTGTTAGCCAACTATGAAATGAAATGAATAATTAATTTTGTACCTGATAATATTCCGGTGCAATCAAATAAAATAATTTCCTATCAAAAGAAAATTAAACATTCACATAAAAGTTGACTTTCCACCGTTAGAAACAGACAAATGCCCCAAAACCTAGTCCAGTAAAAGAACATAACATCTAACTTTCAACGCAGGCATATAAAAAACATCGTTTCAAGAAAGGAGAAACATAAACATACTCTTCTTATATTTTCAATGTGCCTGACTAGTTCAAGCATCTATGGCTGAATGACAGATATACAACCATGAATTTATCATTCTTAAAATTCAATTATAACCTTTACCTAACTAATTATTAAAATGACAAGATTGTTGGCCAGACATGAAGATCAGCTTACTTTAAGGTCCTGTCACACAAGACTGTCATGTCACTGCGTTTGCACGACGTTGTTAAATTTAACAGAGCTGCGAGATCACAAGAAAAATCTGATTTTTTTATCACACACGTGCCGATTATGCGACTCCGTAAAAATGGTATTGCACGGTCGTGCATATATTTTGACGTGACGTCATTAGCGTTATACAAACATAGTGTAAAGACGCGCTAATTATAGCTTTACACTATAGGCGCCTCATTGAAAAATGACTCTTTTTCACTTAAAACACTCTTTATTTTGGGTATGTGATAAATAGAATATTATATTTATTGAACTCGTTGAATAAAATAATATTATGCTCGCCAGAAGCTCGCATAATAGAACTTTACACAAGTCGATCAATAAATCCAGTATTGAACTTACACTCATTCAATATCATCTATTTATGACATGGAACTTCACATGGTCTTCATGGGGTCCTCACGGTGATCATGGCGCTGCTACGGAGCTTCCACGGCGTTGTAATGCGTTTTTACGGCGTATTAATTAGATATTGTCTGCGTTCGGACGGCGTTTCTATTGCGTCCTTTGCGCTACCACTGCGCTTTCACGGCGCTCTTCTGGCTGAAATCGTAAAGCTCCGTAAAAACGCCATACACAAACAGTCAAAGCGCGGTAGAAGCGCCGCACAATTGCCGTACAAGCGCCGTGGCTAACAACGGCGAGCATTCGGCGACCCTTCTGCGTTTTCAAGGCGCTTCCGTTGCGATGTGACGGCGTTTGTTTATGCGTGACGTCGGTCTATGCGGTGCCACTGCAATGCCACTTCGATGCTGCGGCGATGCTGGCGATTTTACTGCGCTCACCTCGGCAGGGATTTTAATAAAAAATTATTTCAAGTTAGGTACGACCTTGACTTTTGAGCTACAAATCTTGTTTTAGCGTAAGACACCTCCACTCAATATGCCAATTTTTATGCATAATTATTTCAAAATCCTTAAAGGATACAACCATCGATTCAAATTCGTAATATTATCATGACCTTGGATGTACCGAGTATGACCTTGACTTTCAACCTAGAAACCTTATTAATGCGTGTGATTCTTTGTTATCATGTATTACACAATTATGCTTAATTATTTCAAAATCCATCCTGCAACGGTAAAGACGAGTTATTGACCGGACGCGAACGTGCATGAACTTTTATGAAAAATTCTTTGGTTTTGATCTTGACCTTTGAGCTAGAAACCAAATTATTGCACGCAACACGTGGCTATGATGTCAAAACTATTTGTAACTTTAATTTTACTTTAATCTTACTTTGCATTTTTTTCTACTAGGCAAAAAACGTGTTATTTGAACAAATATCACCTTTATGCTTTTTATGACACAATGGTTATCATCAGATGTATCAAATGATACACTGTGGCCCCTGCACAGCAGTCCTTTGTAGAGCAATTAACTCTTCACAATAGTAGTGGGAATTCTTTCGAAAGTAAGACTTTTCAGCGGACAAGAGTCCTTCTAAAAAGGATAGGGCCGCCAAAGCCCACCCCACCCAACCCCCTGCTAGGCCGCCAACTCAAGCTGCCAGACCGCCAACTTCACGCCGCTATGCCGCTAACTTCATACATCTCCAGTTTTATGATATTATAACTAGCTGAAAAAAACAGCCAGCCCCGTTATCATCTGTTCCACACTTGCAACCTTGCCAATCCACACTAAAGAAAGTGTACAGTTTAATTGTGTAATATTAATATCAATGTAATGCACAGGCAATGAAATTTTATCTATAGTACCCTGCTGTTTCAATCTAAATTTCCTAAACACGAAGGTTCTTATGTCAGAATCGAATGAATCATGACCAAATGTATATCAAGAAGAATGCGCATGCGTGAAATGCTTCTTCCGTTTCTGAGGAAATATCGTATTGTTAAAAGGTCTATACTGCCCTCTTGTATTTAATGTTCTTCATTTTCGTTTTCTTTGGCCTCAAAAATATTGTTGTTTAATTCGGTTTTTACACTACTCTTTCTGTTAATTACTACAGAAAATTTTCTGATGTTCATTTAAAATTATCAAGTTTCAAGTTTTATTTTTCAACAAGGCCCATATGGGCATTAGCGTTTTAAACAGCTTTTTCACAAACAAATAAGCATTAAAATAAAATGACACAAATATGTAAATAAAGCTTGTAGAGAATATAAATACAATAATAAGGCTAGAGATACTTATGTATGACTTATAGAGATGAGAGACTAGAAAAGATAAAAAATAGTGTAACCACAACATTGGACCCATGAAACCCAATATTGTTACCACGTATAACTAGTTTCACTGACATTATAATTATAGGAATTAGTGTCACAATGCGATTACAAATGTCATAAAACCTTTTAAATAAAAAAATAATTAAATAAAATACATAAAAATATAAAAAAGATAAATCAAACAATGAAAATTAAGACAATACACTTGACAATAGAGACTCACTAGTAGGTAGTAAACATTATTTAACAATAGACATTATTCTTTGTGTAAAAACAGACAGTGTGACTAATACAGTTCTATCAGTACTTTGAAAGTAAACATATTATCTCTTCGTAAGTTAATAGGCAAGTACATTTTACGATCAATGTTAAAATAAGGACACTAGTAAGGTTGTCTGACGACTTCGGATATATTCTGACATGTTGGTTAACGATACATAAGTTTTAATTGCCTTCCTGGTTGCCTAATATATTGTATATAGTTGTTGTTATTTTTTTATCTAAAGTCATGAAACACGTTTTAGTTTAAAATGACTGAATCAGTTTATCAAAATATTTTTGGATGGACACTTGGTTATGAATATGCTTTCCCGGGATCTCAAATTAAATGTTCTGAAATCTCAAACTTATTTTGTCCTGAGTAAGTATTTCAGTATTTTGCAAAAGAGAAGTAGGTCAAATATTCGGTATTGCATATCTATAAATAGAATGTATATTTTATGTTACTTCAAATCGAAACAATATCAGTTAGATAATGTGGAGTTTTGTTCAAGGGATTACATAATAGAAATATGAAAACAGAGATACGTGAACTTTACACGCTAGAAAAATAACATGTTTTTATTTATAATAATTCTACCACTTCATATTTTTAGCATGCTTCGATGCTTAAGACATGTATGTAGAAAGGGAAACAAAAATAGGGTAAGTTTATCTTTTAATTTTAAGTAGCTATGTTTTATATTATTATATATATATATAAAATAACAAGTTAATAATTTCTTTATCGTGAAATGTTGGTAGATAAATGAAGTAATCTAGTATAAATCTAGCATATCAATGTAAAGTAGTTAATATCAACCCGTTTCAAGAGGTCGATAAATCTTTGTATGGCTTGAATGATATACAATTTAAATAGTAGACGACTGTTTGTGTGAAATACAGGACAGTACATGCACACCTTTTCTCAAATGACATAAATTACCATAAATCTTTACATTTTTTCTAACCAGAAAAATCTTTACGTTATACATTTATGAATGTGTATTGAAAAAGTGAATTTCTTTATAGGTTTAGAGAACTATTAAATGTTCCCAATTATCTTATATTAACCACTCTAAATGTTTTTGTGTGGATTTACCCTTTTTCCAAATGAGTATTTATCAATCCTATTGTCCTATAATGTATTATAACTGTTTCAGGTGATGATCGTTTGAGGGAAGGTGGGAAAGAGGAAGAGAGAGAAATGATCAACATACTTATTATTATTCGTAAAATAAATATTCAGTTAAACAAAGTTTTGAATTCCTATTGATTGCTTTTAACCCACTTTTGGAGTTTTGGTATTTTGAACTCACTTTAGACATATTAAAACTGTTTACACTAACTTCAAAATGTTTTGTTGATTAAAACTTTACATTCACATATACCAGGAAACAAGGTATGTACAGATTCCATCTGCAGACAATGCGGAACAAGACACCGTAATTCAAATAGAAAAGGATGAAAACGATGACGAAACAAAACAGGAGTTGGAAAGTCTGAAACTTGAAAGATTAAAGGATTTAAAACGCATAGAAACACTTGAAGAAAAGATTACAGCATTGGAAAGAGAAAATGCGATGCTTAAGAAACAGAATAATGATATAGAGCAACGGTATACCATTCACACATATAAAATCTTTAAAAAATATATATATAAGTAATACAATACAAAATTTCTATTAAAATATTTTGATTTTTTTTACACAATTAAGAATCAACTTCATCATGTGATAATCAAGCACATCACATTTAATGAGGATGAAGACTAATTTTACAAGTGCATGTTATCAAAAACATGAAGTTAAGGCTATGTCATATAATTAGGAGTGTATTGATTCTTCTTAAAGGCCCATTATACCTCAGATATGCTATCACTTTATTTTCTAAAAATCTTTTATGTTTATTATTTTGTCACAGTTTAAAAGAAAACACATATTTACCATAAAGAGGAACTAGCTTTGGCTTGTTTTGCTCTTTTTGCAATTCGTATATTCATATGGAGTTATTATTTTGTATGGAAGTCATTATATTTTGCTACCTTTGCAACACATTACTGCACATTCAGCGCTACTTTCGTCGGTTGTTAAACTAAATCCATTATTAAAACATTTTTGAACACATGTCTGACATTTCTAGAGAATGTTTAGAAATATGTATTTCTGGGGCTAATGTGTCTTTAGTCTTAAGATTATATATTTAAGGAAGGAATAGTGTTAAAGTTCTATTTTTGATCTTTTGACAGGTCGAGTCAGTTAACCATTGAAATGTCTAGACTAACGGATGTAAAAGGAAGTTTTGAGAACGTAAATGATGAACAGAATAACTCGAGACTTACTCAAAGATTCGAATCTTTAAATTCTACAAAATGGGTAATGGTAGCAAGGCAAATGGCCAAATCATTCCGAACCAAGACAGAAGTTGAAATGATATCTTTACTTACCGATCTAATGAAGGTAAAATGATATTTGATAGTTTGAATTAAACCAATATCCCATCCTATGAGGGTAAACTAGTACATGTATACAATCACATGACGGGTATTTGATTACATGAAAGTTACTTTAAGGATAACATCTAATCACATTATACCTCAGAAGCGGATACATAATTTCTTCTTTAGAAAGGACAAACATAAGCTTTATAATGTTTGCATTATGGTATTTAGCATGTAACATGGGAATAGGACCGACACGTTTTCCTTCCTCAATCATGACACTTTTATAATGAGAGTTGGTAGCTTGGTTGTTACATTATCCATCAATTGTACAATATAGCATTTAATGAAAAGTTAACGACATTTGAGCCGCGTCACGACAAAACCAACATAGTGTGTTTGCGACCAGCATGGATCCAGACAAGCCTGCGCATCCGCGCAGTAGGATCAGGATCCATGCTGTCCGCTATTAGTTTCTCTACTTGTAATCACAGGCACGAGTATCGGACCTGGGAAGAAAAAATATGACCAGATTGATAAAAAAAACCTGTGTTCATCTTAACAGTGTCAAAAAAAAAAAAAAAACAACAAAAATGTAAACAATGACCCCCTTTAAAAATATACTATAAGTTAAGAGAAGGCCGGAAACTCCAGATTCGAGCCTACGAGCAAGGGATTCATTTCCCGGGCCGTTGTGAAAACAATTGGCCAGACAATTAAAAAAAAACTTTTATCCCTATTTCACGTTTATATTAAGCTTCAAAATGAGACCAACCCCAAGTCTCTAGCCCTTCCCGTTCATGAAATATCTATCAGGAAACGAGCGAATTCGTACTAAAAATCCTTGGTAGACAGAATTGCGGCACAACAATTCGATACGTAAACATAGACTAATACATGTATGTCAGCTGAGTATGGGTCAAAATCACTTGAATTTACTAAATAATATTACTAAATACATTAAGTTGGACCACTCACAACCGTCAGTAGCATCTGATACACACGAGATTCGAGTTTCAAACATTTACACGGTCTTTCAATCGCTTTCTACGTCATTAGGCATCCTTGTGTGAAACGTTGCGGTTTTCGTTGCTACTGGCCAATCAGAAGACTCGTTACAAAATATCGAACAGCTGATTGACAATGGCGTAGAAAGTAATCTAAAGACCGTGGAAAGGTTTTTTTTTTAATTGTCTGGCCAATTGTTTTCACAACGGCCCGGGAAATGAATCCCTTGCTCGTAGGCTCGAATCTGGAGTTTCCGGCCTTCTCTTAACTTATAGTATATTTTTAAAGGGGGTCATTATTTACATTTTTTTTTTTTTTGACACTTTTTAAGATGAACACAGGTTTTTTATCAATCTGGTCATATTTTTTCTTCCCAGGTCCGATACTCGTGCCTGTGCTTGTAATAGGGTCATGGATCCTGATCAGACTGCGCAGGCTGGTCTGGATCCATGCTGGTCGCAAACCCATTATGTTGGTTTTGTCATGGCACGGCTCATTTGCTTTATGTTGGACAACTTGTTTTTTTATCTAACGTACATGTTCTTTGTAAATTCTTTGTTAATATAATTTGAGAATAACATTTGTGTTGGACAACTTGTTTTTTTTATCTAACGTACATTTTCTTTGTAAATTCTTTGTTAATATAATTTGAGAATAACCTGGCTATATTTTAACTGTTTTGTACAATATTTGGTCCCCTGTATTACAGACCGGTTACCAGAAATGTAAAGAAGTGGCCGATGTACAAGTCTGTAATTATCTACAAGTCAACAGTAAAGAAGATATTCCAGCAAATGAAGATGTAAGATTTTCTTTCAAAAATAATAAGTTAAATATGGTTAATATTATTTTTGAAACAAAATTGTTTCACAGCCATTTTAATGATGACTTTTCAACCTTAATGGTGTAAGTAACCCCCCCCCCCCGCCCACACCCCGCCCTCATCTTCATAACCATAACCTTTGAGAGATGAGCAGCCTGTAGCAGAAGAGTTCTTCCTCCCTTAAGTAGCTTTATTGCCTCATTGCCGCGAGATAGACCTTGTCTAAATTTAGAATTTTAATAATAAGGGACAAATGACTGAAAAACAGCAAGCTTAGTCTATCGTATAAGAAGCATGTAAAAAATGTGGGTATATCAATTAAACCTAAATCAGAAAAACAAACAAAAATGTGTTTATTTTACTGCAGGATATAGATTCGTACAGAATTTTCTATTAGTTTTTACCATCCCATTCTTCCAATTCCGATACATTTTTTGTAATTTTTAGCCGGCCTGTTATATTTCATTAATGTTAAATTTCATTAATATAAAAGGAAAATATCAGTCAGATATTTTCATTATTCGATAGGTTCATAAATACAGTTTTATACAGAGATTGTTTGTGTTTGAAAAGCTTTCAGATTATTTACAATTGAGGAGAAGATATGCAGTTAGAACTTTTGTTAAAGACAATGTGAAGAAGGTATTTCCATTTCAAAATATTTTAAATATTTTTATACTTATTATTGTTGGTTATTTACCATCTGATAAATTGTGTTCGTTTTTGATCTTTTTATCCTATATAATCATTATGGTCATATAACACATGCACATAATTCAGTTTGGCTAATACAAAAATATGTACCAATATAACCATATAACAAATACAATTAATGCCATATATATATATATAGCTAATACAAATAAATGTACCAATATAACCATATAACACATACAATTAATGCCATATATACATGGCTAATACAAATATATACCAATATAACCATATAACACATAAAATTAATGCCATATAGACATGTCTAATACAAATACCCGACCAATATAACCAAATAACACATACAATTAATGCCATATAGACATGGCTAATACAAATACATGTACCAATATAACCATATAACACATACAATTAATGCCATATATACATGGCTAATACAAATTAGCTTATGTATTGACCACAATGTATCAATTTATTTGTAACAGTGTATGAAATTTGGTTAATTTTACATGTACATTTGTATAAATGATTTAAACACGTGATGTTAAATCTTCCTTTATGGTTGTATTTTGTGACAAAGTTTATTTTGTACTCACTTTAAATGAATCAGTCTCTCTTTCATAATTCCTTAATAATAATTCAAAATAAAAGAATATTATACAAAACTACATAATGTGAATTCATTTGATTTCGTGGGGATGAAGTTTCGTGGTTTAGTCACAAAAGACATTTTCGTGGCTTCTTAAATTCGCGGAATATCTATTTTTTTTTCAAAGAAATGCAAATACATGTATGTAATGTTTTTACAGCCGAGGAAATGACATTTGTTGGATCTAAAATTCATGAATAGACCTACACAATAAATCCACGAAATTTAGTGCCTCACGAATATAATGATTTTGCAGTATTGACTTGTTATATTCAGTCTGCACGAGTTAAACTAATTGTCTATGGATTTTCAGAATATCATAAAACAGCTTGAACAAAAAGAAGTTATGAAGTTATGTTCGAAAGAAAAATACATAAATATCCAAGAAAAATTACAGAATTTTCTCGAAGAATACATTGAATGTTGCTGGCTCATGACAGTGTCCAACCCGACCATGGTTCTTGACTTTGATGTTGTTGGTAAACAATATACCGAATGTGCTGACCATTTTAAAGAGTACTCTTCTAAAAGACCTGTAGAAGATGTAACAAAAATTCAAGGTACAATATGTGAAGTTGTTTGGCCGTGTGTGCAACTTGAAGATGAGACGGCATTTTATATGAAAGGCGAAGTTGTTGTTGTGAAAAAGGGCATAAAATCAACTGAAGACCTGATAAATGTAAGGTCTTAAGTTCCTACACAAATTTATAGAGCTATTTATAAAATACTATTGGAAGACTGTGATAGCATTAAGACGTGTGGTTGAATTATAACAGCTTTTTTTCAAAATATAACAGATTCACGCATGTTTTTAGGTTTTATTTTTAAAAAGGAGAATACTTCACACTGCGTGTTAATCATTTTATGAAATTAATTGTTAAGAATTCAAATGTAAGTGATTCGGATAAATTTCAGAATTTAAGCATCCTACAAGAACAGAACAGTTGTTGTTAATATTTCATAGATTTCCAAGTTTCTTGTTAATCTCTCATTCACCTTATTTTGATGTTTGATTCTCCAAAGTTATGAAATGTTCCATGTCTCATTAATTTAATATATTATTGTATAATATTATATTATATTATCATTCTGCGTTGTGCTGTTTACCATTATTTACTAATTTTCATAAAAATCATAAATGGATTGGTAAATTAGGAAAATTTTCGGAACTTTTTTTTTCTTATGACATGTATATTTAATTCAATTCATTTGGATTTCAAGAACAATTTTAATTTTATAAAATATATTGTAGTATTCATTCCATTGTTCAATTATATTAAAAGGGAGAATAACGCAGATAGCTGAAAAAGTCAAAGTGCTACACAGTTGCCTCCCTTCACACTTGGCAAAAAAAAACAAAACACACACACATGCGTTAGTTAATACGTGTCATTGTGGCTGATATTAGATATGGATAAAAAAAATTTCTATTTATTTATTTATTTATATATATATATATATATATATTTATTTATTTATTTATTTATTTATTTATTTATTTATTTATTTATTTATTTATTTATTTATATTACCGTATTCACAATGAAATACAATATATGTTGAGGGATAAAAATTGTAAATTTCGTACTATTAACAAAATGTTCACGGAACTTAAAGGCACATTATCCTCCAGAAATGCTTTAATTTTTATGCCTTTATCGCATTTTAATTTTCGTGTTCTGTTACACCATCTTTTGCTTCTGTTGCTTTTTAATAATTAGGGCATTTAAAATGATTTAATATTTTGCATGGAAGTCAAAATACTACTTTGTTTATATTCTTTTACTCACATGACAAATAATTTCACATTTAGCGCTACTTACTTCATGTGATAAGCATGATATGAGCCGCGTCACGACAAAACCAACATAGTGCGTTTGCGACCAGCATGGATCCAGACCAGCCTGCGCATCCGCGCAGTCTGATCAGGATCCATGCTATTCGCTTACAAACCCTTTAACAAGTAGAGAAACTGAAAGCGAACAACATGGATCCTGATCAGACTGCGCGGATGTGCAGGCTGGTCTGGACCCATGCTGGTCGCAAACCCATTATGTTGGTTTTGTCGTGACGCGTTTCATTTATTTTATTATAAGATTATTTTAACGTTATAAAACTTACTATTGTTCTTTCTAAAGACGAAAAGATATTTTTGAGGCATAATGTGCCTTTAAGTACAAATCCTTTCCATGAAAAAAACCTTTGTAAAAAGCACAGCTGCGTCGGAAGGGAAATTATAAAAAAAAAACTCTTTGTGTCCCATTTTTCTTTGTTAATTTTATTTATTCAATGGTTTTGGAACAAAGTGTCGAATTTATAGATTCAGATGAAAATGTTAGACGTTCTACACATGACTGTTGTAATATAAGTATAAGCGATAGATAACATGGAATAAATGTAAAGTGTATTTGTTGACCTTTAAGAGGTGACGTTTTGTTTTTGATAATGTAATAGATAAAACAATTAATTTAAATATGCGTTTGCGTCACACCAACATGGTTTGCACTTGAAAATTTTAATAAAAAAAAACTATAGCAATTTATTTTAATTTGTTGAGATATTGAAGCATTTTAGTTGCTAAATGACTCGCATGTGTTAACTCTGTCAAATATAAACGTGTTCCCTCACTTCATTAGATTACGTCGATGTTTATCTTTAATCTGATAAACATGACATTTAGACCGTTAGTTTATCATTTAGCTGCGTCATTGTTTAAAGACAGGTTATTACAAATATCATTTTATCAATAAACATTTACCTGTTTCAAGGGTCATTGATGAATGATATGTTTATTTATAATTAATTCACAGGCAGACAATATTTGTCGCGGGGATGCGTAACCTTACGGTACTCTTATAAACAAATATTTTACTACTGCCAAATATAAACTGTAAATATCGAACAGTTATGACAATGTCAATGTAATCTTATATAATAAAAATAAAGAATAGTAAAAATTATAACAAACTTAATCTATTGTATTTGTGTAATGTTTTTGAAATAATGCATTTGAAATAAAGTCTATGACCCAAGGTTATAGAGATTGTTTTTTGTTCTCACGTATTTGATTGGTCAGAAACCAGAGCAGAATGTATATATTGCAGGTAGTATGTAGTATTTTGCAAATGGTAATGTAGCCCTCATTTCTTATAGAAGCGGTGAAAATCAACAATCTCAACGAATATCCTATGTTTAAAAATTCTTATGAGCAATAAAGGAAGTATTTCTATTGAAGAATATATAGTAAAATGTTTCAGCTTAAAGGCACATTATGCCCAAGAAATGCTTTTATTTTCATTTCTCAAAAGTTTTTTTTGTAATATACTATATAGGTTCAAAAAAAGTTAGTCATTGACAAATTTCCTGAACCATATCTATCAGGCATCTAGTACAGGTACATGTATAGTGAATTAGTATTTTGTAAGGAAGTCAAAATACTACTTTGTTTACATTCTGCTACTTTTGTGACAAATTATTTCACATTTAGTGCTGCTTTCTTCAGATAACTGCTCTAAAACCATAATTTAAATGTTATAAAATTCATGTTACCCCTTTTTAAGAAAATAAAAATTTATTTGTTTCTGATGCATAATGTGCCTATAAATATGTAAATCTATCATTTATGTAAGTTGTCGTGTAAATATTTTGACATTTGTAAACACACGACATATATTTATCAAGGTAATAATGATAATTATGATCAAATGTTTAGCAAAATTATCTCTGATACCATAAAGGTACTAAACAATGTGAAATTCGATAAAAAAAATATATATATTGAATAAAAAAATCGACTGTAAAATAGATTTATTTTTTTTATAGATGTTTCATTAAGTTCAAAACAATAAATACAAATGTATAGCATAGCCCGCATAAGCTTTGATGTCTATTTGTCTACTAGATTAAAAAACAAAAAACAAACAAATAAAAAACAACAAGACTAATCCTTCTAAGTACTCAGATCTGTCATTACTAGTAGATATGTCTCCAGAAGTTAATACTTAGTCTCAAAACTTAGCATGAATCTTCCCTGATAAGGTAGATTTTCTGTCACATTTTCAATAATCATTGACATATATGTTAAGATCTTTATTTAATTCAATCAACTTTCTGGCATAAATCTGTAAAACATTCATTACAAAAGGAAAGAAATGCGTCATTCTTGAATAAATCAAACCTTATCAGGCTATATTATGACATCAAGTTCTATCGAAAATATGTGTTTTGCTGTCAACGAATTAAATTGTCACTAAGTAAATGTTATGATGCGATACGAAAGCAGACGAAGGATTTGTCAAATGCTTCACAATAAATCCTAGATGAGATTCACGGCACTCTATACTCAATAACAAGAAAGCTAGAATGTAAAGAAATACAGAAGCAAAAAAAAATGCGAAAATTTGGTATCTTTATTCTGTCAAGTAGTCCCACATCTCATTTTGAGGTACTCAAATCGATTTAATGCCAATGATTTATGATATTTCACACATTTCCAGAAGCATGGTTTCATTTTTGGTGTGTTGCTAACTTCGATACTCATAATAATCATTCTAGATGTAAATCATCCTAGTGCACTACTCCTCGGATCAGTCACAAATACTGAAGGTAACATAGCATTTTCGTCATAAGATTTAGTATTGTCACGTGTAACAGAAACAGGTTCTATGACACGTGTTTTGCTAGCACTATTATTATTTCCGAGCCGCACAGTTATTGCCGGGAGAATTAGCCTAGGGACCGGTTTTGGTGTTTCAGCTCCTTTGTTTCGTGAAGCCGACTTTACAGGACTAGGGACACGGCTCTTTCTTTGTCTCATGTTATCAAACAGATCTTCTGTTGACATTGTCCTGTCCACTTCAGTCAGTTCATTTCTTTTGTCGAGAAGTTTTGTAGCTTCTCGTCGGCGTCGGACAACAGGTCGCATCTCTTTTAGTTCTCCTTCAATGAGCTCTTCAATGTTTGATCTTAAACTTTTTGGCGGATATTTACCATAGATATCTTCCATCTGAGCGTGTATTTCTTCTCTTTCCTTTGCCAGTTTATCTAACACATTCATGTGTGCTTTATAATCTTGTAAAGCTTCTGAATGTCTATGAGTAGCTTTTTCTTTCCTTATAAGAAACATATGTTTTTCTGCGTTCACTTGTTTACAAGCCAGTTTATATTTGGCTTCTTCGGCCTTGTTCATTACGTCAGTCAATTTAGCACGATATTCGCACTGCCTTTGTAGACTTTCAACTTTAGACTCGGCATAAAATCCTCCCGTATATTCATCAAAAATCACTTTCCGTCTTTTCACATCCACTTCCTCTCCTAAACCCATTGTTTTTATTTGTTCGAGTTTATCAATGTATATATACTTATGGATATTTACCAAATTATCGAAAAATGGTATCTAAAAACAACAACTGAAATATCCATTGAAAATAATCACTTCCGAATGTCTGACACCTAGAAAATCCAATGAATGCTTTCGTTATATTCTTTTTAAAACAACCAGTGTGAAATAGTTTTTAGCGTTTACGGCAAACATTAAAATCAATCAAAACATTTCCCAAAGTTACAGCGGATCATGAACGCTCCGAATACACCGGATGTAGATAACTTTACTTGTTTGCGAATGTCACTAAACGATTGTATTGAAATTCCAACTGAGGATAATTAACTTTGAGATCGGCCAGGCAGCAAATCGATTAATCGTTTGTTTTTCAAATGATTTTTGTCCACTGCTCGTAGGTACTATCGGTTCAATCGAACATTAATATTTCATAGACTCACAACAGAGAGTGACAGGTGAGGTGAATTATGGCTTCCAAGATAACTGAAATATAATAAAAAACCACAATCAATTAAACGCCAATATAGGTTTTCATATTTCCACAATGATAAACATCAGATGTGTTACATAAAGTTAATTCACTATTGTAACAGTCTCATCATATTTATTGAGGTCTTTTTAAAGTACTTATTGAACATAAAATCATTCACATTCAAGCACTTTAATGTAGGCTAGATTTTTCTATATTAACACAAATTGTATCTTATTTAAAAAAAATGAATAATTTTCGTCAAATTTTAACATTAATATAAATCGAATTGGAAATAAAATACGGCTGCATTACTAATTAAATATGTTCTGATAATCCAAAACGTTTATGCACAATTTGTTCTTTATCATCGCGAATTTCACCCTTTTTTAGCATTAAACATCAAATATGCATTCACAACATGAAGGAGTGCACTCAATCCTTTGTATGTTTTGTCAGATATATTGCTGTGAATTGTTCATCATTTTTGATGTATATCGATACTAAGAGGTATTGAAGATATCTTAGATAGGAAGAAATTTACAATTTTGTCTTCAGGAGTAGGTCCACTATCATCAAGTACACCTATATACACCTCAAGTACCAGTTTAATCACACACTTCAAAATGTGTTCAAATTTTAAATGGCTTAAAATAAGTAGTTAGTTTTTATTTGTCATTTAAATTCTAAATGTTTGCTTTTCCCTATTTCTGCCGAAGAATTTAGATTGTCTTGTTTAACAATACTGTACAAACACGCATCGAATTAAAGTTATCATGTCAAATAGGCAATCTAAGAGGACAAAAAATGTCTCTTCATTCCATTTCATTTTCTTACATTTCGTTTTAACGATGTCTCCCAATATCAATCGAATACGTTGAATGGAACGAAATGAAAATCTGGCATTCATGAATTGACTATTATGTAATGAAACTCTTGAGCAATGCTTTGCTGTGTTTTGTATTTTCGATGTCTCTTTAAAAACTAATTTATAACATGAATAATGAAACATGAGAGAGAACAATTTCTCTGTGGTATATTAATGGCTTGAAAGTAACTTCATAAAACTTTTAAAACATCGGCTGAAAAACTGAAATCAAATAAAACTTTGCTGGACATTTTAATAAAAACCGTTTATTGCATTTGATAATAAAAGATTATATTCGAATCTAAAAGATATGTGTTTTCTTTTGAATATAATGTAAACGTTTCCTTTCTTTGATGATGTCGAATGAAATATAGATTTCATTCCAATCAATAAAATCACAATGGGTTTTTACGAATAAATGCTTTATCCCACGAATCAACGAAATAAGATTTTATCAGTATCGCCAACAAAAGTTTTTCTGTTGTAAAATTAAAGTTCTCTCAGCCTTTACCTGTTGTAACCGAAAAATTATTAGCCTTTGCAACCAGTATAGAGCCAGGCCAGGCTACAGACCCGTGTAATCTGGCCGGGCTCTATACCGTCGGCTAACCAACCTTATATAATTGTCCCTATAATTGTTACTGTTAGTAATGAACAATTAAAAACAATGTAATAAGCCTATTTAAAATATCCAATAAGTTAGGGGACAATAGGATTAAATCTTAATGACTAATACACGAACATGTTAAAATATATAAAGATGAACATCTAAATAATTATTGAGTATGACATCTTTGTAATTTTCACTCCCTATTGTTCCCATGTAAAAAATAATTACAGTCGGAGTTTTGATGATTTTCATCACGTCAAAATTGTACAAGTGTTGTATAATATAGTGTTTAAAATGTTAAAGTCAAAGTTTTTATGCTTCGCATATATTTTTCTTGAAAAAAATCTGTTTCAATAAAGTGTTTTCTATTGCTAAGAATCCAGCTGTAGGTAGAAGATAAGAGTTTAATGTTCATATATTGACCGATTAATCTTCAGGATAAGATGAAAGACGAAGTAAAAACACTGCAAGACTGCAATTGAATGTTTTAATTGAAATAATGTGTAGAAGAAGGTCCACTAACTGAGATAAAGTGCATGAATACTAAAACTGTAAACAATAATTAATGAGCTCTGCTTTATTAGTATTAATATCAGTCTGATTTTGTATGGAATGTATTGATACTTAAGTAATATCAAAATAAATAAGGTTGAGGTAATCCACTAAATCAAGATTCTGGCTTTTACACCAGGGATTGTGGGTTCGATCTGTTCTTGGGCAATGACTTTGTTTATAATATGGCTTCAGTAACAGTTAGTTCCAGAAAGCGGGCTCTTTTGTTTCAATAAAAGCTTTAAACATTCATAACACTCGAGCCTAAATGAATAATGTTTTTAAAACTAAACAAATGAGCATTGATTTTTCGGTTTCAATCGTTTTACGGTTTAATTCTTTTGCACATATAGCTGTTAAACAATCATGAAGTAATATACATTATAACACATAGTATTGAATTCGTCTTAACGTATGCCATTTTGCATTTTGAAACTCCATTTGTCTTAAATGTTATTGAGTTTTCATACTTGTGAAGAAGAAGTGAATAGGTTTTTGCTCGATTTGTCATATCATGACATTTGTTTTAGATACATAAATCACGAGAATGACAAAATTTTAGAATTTTTTATATAAACAAATGCACTTGGACCTATGAGAGCATCCTTTTTGCTCGTGCACTGCTTTGATTGACTAGACTATTGACAGTGTAGAATGTATTTAGGATGTATTTCATACAACCTCCATTATGACAAAAATAAACAAATTGAGGCTCAGTTTACTGAATCTGTTGATGGACTACACGAATTTCAAATGCATCGTGCGAGAAGTTCATCATTTCTTTATTCATTATATAACGTTTTTGTATGCAATTCATCTTTTTTGGTTAAGTTCAGCGATTTCTAAACGTTTCTTTATAGATTTAACTATTAGCTGCATGTTAGTACTTTTTGTCTTAAATATGCGTTTAATTCATGAATTGATTATTATGTAATGAAACTTTGAAAGATATTACGATGTCGTGTATATAAAATGAGTTGCAAATAAAAGTGTACATTAGGTCACAAGGAAGTTCTGTAATCTGTATACTTGTTTAAGCAAATTATCGGTATATTTGGTAAAATTGTATTGACTACACAATAGTAAACATTTGATTGAAATTTGATTATAAGATATTTTTTTTAAAACGGAGTGAATAAGAAAAAGTAGCAGACTTGTTATTTTCGTAAATGTATTTTTGCCCATGCAGCCTTGATCACTTGAGTTGATCCAAAGTCTAGGTTAGTGCAACAAATTCTGATTAATTGTCACGCATCTAGACAAAAAAGGGTTTACAAAAAATAAGTATGTACACAGAATTTCACAGTAATCAAGTACATACTTTCTTTTCCAACTACGGGGTTTTAAGCTTTATTTGAATCATAATGAAACTACCAGCATGTTGATTGTGCATTGTAACACCGCACTTTGGGGTCAAACGCACTTTGGGGTCCAACCCCAAAGTGCGTTACGTACTTTTGGGTCCGACCCCAGACTGTGTTACGCACTTTGGGGTCCAATTTCGACCCCAAAGTGCGTTAAACAGGTACATATGTATTTTTTAACATCAGGCAAACGACCGCACTTTGGGGTCATAGAAAATTATTGTTCATTATGTTTTAAATAATAAATTGTTGTCAAAGCGAATGGTAAACAAAAAGCAAGGTATTAAAAAGACGCAAAACATGTGCCCTGGATTATAGTAGAATCAATAGGGATTTAAATGGTATTAATTAGTAAGTGAAGAACTTTCACCAAATAAATCACCTAATAAAGAATTTGCATCAATTATTAAGCTTAAAAAATTTTTCTCTCAAATTTTCTATTTATTTTAAAAGAATGTACACCTTTAATTAACTCCATTGTTTTTAGCTAAATGGATTATTTTCCCTTTTTTTATTTACCCCTTTTATAGAAATATTATAGTCTTAGCATAGGCAAAGGTATAAATTCTGGGCAATTTTAGTAAGACATTTCAGAAAAAATGTGCCTGATAATATGTTGGAAGAGACATTTATTTAGCTAAATGTAACATATAAGAAACTTGACTAGTGTAGATGCGGCTTTAGGTAGTAGTCCTAAAAATATTAACTATTTAAGAAGTCGCACATTAAGAGCGGAGCTTCAGAATAATGTAAAATTCTCACTGGGGGTATAGAGGGGATTGTAGGGTATCGACCCCCCCCCCCCCGAGGGTTAAAAATAACGTTTTAAAGGCCCATTATGCTTTTATTTGTTTTTCTTAAAAGCTTTTTTATTTTGATGTTCTTCTATATTATCCAAAAAATACACATTGGCCAATTACTTTAACCATCTTTTTCATCTGTTGCTTTTTGGCAATGATGAGTACAGTTATAGTGAATTAGTATTTATATGGAAGTCAAATACTACATTGTTTTGACTACTTTTATGACAAATAATCTCACATTTATCGCTACTTTATTCAGGTAACAAGCATCTTACATTTCTCTGATACCATTATTTTATTCGTGTTTGCTCTTTCTAACGAAGTATGTAAGATTTCCCATTAAAAAAAGCCTCTGGCGAACGAGTGTAAACCGGGGGGGGGGGGGGGGGGGGCGCGCGTTTGTAACGGAGCTTACAAAAACCCTTAAGTTTGTTGATAAGCTTAATAATGTATTTGTAAAAATCACTATTTATAGTCCGATCGAAAAACTTGATGTTTCACCAGAACATTGCAATAGAGTATATTTATAGTTCTTTGGAAAAAAATAACTGCATTTTATTTCATTCCCAACATATTTAAAATGGGGCTCAATATGGCACCAAAAGTTATCAAGTAAATGACTGACAGAACGGGACATTTTTCGCAGCATCTTTTAATTTTAGGAATACACAATTTCTGTACTAGAGTATTTTGAACGGTGGCATAAAAGTGACATTTGCAATTTTTTTTTATACTTTTTCTATTTTTCGTACATATTTTGTTTTGTTTGTCGTACATGTTTTTTTTAAGTTTTGAATACATACTTTTTTTTAGTTTTGCATACATATTCTTTTTTAATTTTGCATACATTTTTTATTTTAGTTTTTTGTACATATTTTATTTTTGTGTTTTTAGTACATATTTTTACATGACGCAATTTGCAAAGTAGAGGTGTGGATAATTACGCCATTTGTAAAACGCCATTTTTAAACACTTCGCCATCTGTAAATTACAGTACCCCATTTGCAAATGCTATTTGCAAATACCAACATTTTCATTTTGGAGGTATAAAAAAATAACAACACTTTTAGAATATATATAGCCCGTGGTAATCCAAAGAAAGATTCTGCATATTGTCTCGATGTGGTTAGCATTTTACACAAAGTGCCTGAAAATCTTTTATGGGGTTTTGGAGATAAGGAGCGGACATGTAACCCAAATCTTAATCATTTGACATGTATGTGTGTCCCCCGACCTTGAGCCGGCACACCTGGCATATAAGTTCTGCACATAATCTGGATGAGCAAAAGGAATGACCCAATTTTCATAAAAATCCTTCAAAGCTTAGCTTTAAGCATTTTTTCTAAATCATTGGAATATAATGACCTTTTTAGATTTTTTTGTTGTGCATTATTGTAATACACCAGTCATTTGTAACCACCTCTCTTTCCTCCGGGGAGTGCGGGATAAAAAAGAATCGTGCTTTGATGTTGGCCCCGTCCGGGGCATGAGGCAGGAATGTCGTTATCTGAGTATCCCCCGCAGGGCGAAGATTTTACCAGTGGTCGGCTTGGTTTTAAATTCAATGCCCCCCCCCCCCCGCTATTCTCAGGGCGTGGGGTTGAGTGGTGCATATTCATTATAATAACTAATCACCAATCTTCAACCCTTTCCAAATAGACACTGATATAATAGTATATAATAATAAAGAAAACAATAATTATATAAAATACATATTATTTAAAAAATGGGCCGAAAAGGGTCGGCCGAAACCAGACTTGCCCGGCCGAAAACGACTTGGCCGATTCCAAAAATGGGTCGAAATGTGACCTGTGTGTGTATTTGCGTTTATTTATACTCGCCACCGGTTGCCCATATGGGCGAGTCCTCCAGAAGAGTATTAGTCATTTAAGATTTTTGGAGGATAATGCAATTACAGATACAGAAAGATGCCCCAATTCCAGAAGCTTCTCCTGGTTCTTTAGCGTGCCAAGTGTTTAAGCACCCATACAAGTGACCTCGATTTTAAGTCTCATCCGAAAGACTGATGAGTAATTTTAGTTGGCCAGCCCGGGGATCGAACCCACAATGTCGAGATTACAAGTCTCGCGCTCTAACCGATGGAGCTATGCGGACTGGCCGAAACCAGACTTGCCCGGCCGAAAACGACTGGGCCGATTCCAAAAATGGGTCGAAATGTGACCAAACCACTGTGCTAGTTTTATACTCAACTATGGGCTGTTTTGAGGTGTGAAGGCTGTTTTGATTGGCTAAAATATGTACGAAAAACAAAAATAAAATATGTACGAAAAACTAAAATAAAATATGAATGCAAAACTAAAAAAAAAATATGTTACGAAACTAAAAACTAATATGTATGCAAAACTAAAAATATGCAAATGTCACTTTTATGCCACCGTAATTTTGTTATATGAACACAATTTTTAGATATTTCAAGTGGTAAAATTAATGAAAGTTTTATCACTTAAGCATCATCAATGTATTGACCGCCATCTTGAACTCCACCTCAAATATTTCAATGTCGCAGATCGAAAATAAGGGTCGGACCCCAAAGTGCATTTGACCCCAAAGTGCTGTGTTACAGTGCATATACCTATATTATATATAAATAATATATAATTATTGAAAACAACATCACTGCCATTATTATCAAAGATCTTGTACAAATAGACTAAATGATTACATAAATGATTGACCCGATTATATCTTATCTATTAAAATACGTCCTAATTGTACACTATGACTGCCAAAAAATCATTTTATACCCAAATTATACTATTGAAATTTTATCAACTAAATATCCTCTTTGATAAGTTTAAATCGTTTTTCAATAACTATTCGGTCTTCTTTCTAAATACATTTATAACTTTGAATGAATGTATTTAAGAAATAAATTTGAACTGATAATAAAAGTTGAAACTTGAAATGTTTTCTTACATTTGTTCAGTTAATCACTTTATAAATTCCGATATTTTTTCCAGTTTGTAATATTCCAAAATCATCGTGAGAACTAAAAGCGTTACTTTCTGTGTGTATAAACAAAATCACTAGTAAAGAAAATATTTTCTATTTATACAATGCTCAAACCTTTTCGTAAACTATTGATGTTTTATTTTGTTGTTTTTAGCATAGATTTCACAAGATTATTTCATATTATAAACATCAGATATTTTTGGCATATCCTTTTGTTATGCAAAAGTTTTTATGATGTGAACTTATACAATGTATAAACGTCCGAAAAATAAAATAAACTATGGCCAAAAACTAGGAAACTTTAATTATATACACATGTACAGTGACATTAATCCAAAGTAGAAGACCGCAACACTTTGTCCCGTGACCACGAGATAATCCGTCCACTTAAAAATGTATTAAAACTTTTAAGAACGGATAATCTCTTTAACGTCATCACCTCGAGAGTAAAATAAAGACGGGAGCATTGAGGTGAACTTCTCAAAAGATTTATATCATGTAGATAATAATTAGTCATTACTTTAATGTATTTGTCATAACAACTCGCATTAGGTTGTCAACATTGACCGCGTTCATTTGTCTGAAAAAAGCCAAGATGGTACTAGGAGTGGCGACTTGTTTCCAGAGCTTACTTTCAAACTACTGTATGTCTTAATTTCCAAAATAATATTACAGAAATCAGACACTTCACCTTTAATCAAACTGAGATTTATACATATTCGTTTATGTAAAGGTATAAGTTTTGATTTAATTTATAATTTGTTATATATATTTTTTCAGTCAAATTTACTGGAAAAAAATAACATGGAGAATAATCTACGAACAAAATTTCATTACAACATCTGCTAAAAGTTCTATAAACATTAACGGTATTTAATATCATAAACATTAAAAATTCATGTATATTTTTTTCCTAAATATTTAAATTATTTTAACAAAATGCATTACGACGAAAATGCAGGAATTTAAGAATTTGGAAAAGAAATAAAATAAGATAAACTCTACCTTGATAAAGGATTTATAAACATGCTTTGTAATCCGCTATAATTTATAAATAGAAGTTAAAACATGCAGAACATATTCATAATCTACCTACGAATTATCATTATCGATTGATTACAATCGGTCGTACTTAATAATTCAACGCTTTTGTTCATTTTATATATAGAAAGAGTGTCCACATGTACTGAAACGTAAAAGCAACGCTAGATTTTACGCGATTAAATTTTAATGTACAAGATTGAAAAGCTTAAAATTCAATTTTATACATCAACCTATATTTCTCGCATTAAACAATGAGTTAGCTATATAGCATTTAACAATATTTTGATAAATGTGTCTAAGAGACAAAAAGATAGTTTATCATTTTACGGTATTATAATTATTTAAGGACTGACACGGACGCATTTTTAAGGTCATTAAGGTATTAGCACCCTAATGCATTACCTCCGCTTTGAAGAGTATTCAAATAGGCTAGAACTACTGTTAACTACATTGAAAATGAGGGCCATGGGTTCAATCCCCAGAAGGGTCAACTTTTTTTTTCTTTCTTTTTTCTTTTAACATTATTTATGTATCTCTCATGTCCCATATGGAAAGAAAAAAGTGTTTAATTTTGAATTTTTAATTTATATAGGTATTTATTGGCTAAATTATGCTAAATCTAGTAATAAATATGGTACCTGATATTTTCAAAGTGTAATATAATCAAAACTAGACGGTAAAAGTATTTCATATTTAACAAGATCAACCAATATACTTTTTTAAAAATTTAGGGAAACTTTGAAAACAGGCACTCATTTGGGTAAATTTTAAGAATTTTTTGAATTAGGCTCCCTAAGTAGAAAAATGGTCAGAAATGTGGTAAAAATGGGTGGGGTAGGGTAACATTTTTATACAGATTTCATAAATTTTAAGTAGAAACCATAATTTTGCTTATGTGGATAGTTAGCTGAATGGTACTATTTGTTTCTTACCAAAAATACATGGGAAAAATTTTTTCATTAGAATGTTATTGCAGATTATTTAAAGGTTCCTCATTTCTAAAAAAGGGCCCTCATAACATCCTAGCTTGGATTCAGAAAAGTGGCCATAACTTGATTTCCGTACGGTAAACTTTGTTTAAATTTTGCATACAGGTGTACTTTAAGGTATACATCTGACCTATGATGTCAATTCTTTAGTTCCTGATAGTGCCCATTAGGGTCCTAATACCTTAAAGCGTATAAAAATGTATTGCAAAGTAATCAGACTGATTTTTTTTCAAATATGTACGTTTGCCTTGGATTTTAAAAATAAATAATTCATTTGGTAGTCCTTGAAAGTACAATGTCTTCAAACTATGGTTTGGTGAAGATTTTGTCCTTTGGTGGGAAAATCAACATATTAGTCTTATCTTTACACTAATTGTCGTACAGAAGTTAACTTTATAACACTACATATAGTAACATATATCTATATAAAGTTACTGATAATAAAACTGACAATGAGGTTAACTTATGTTATGAATGTACTTTGTCTCATCCCTTTCTGTCCAAACATCATGAAAAAAGGTTCAATAAGCTTTGCAATGTTATACGATTGTTTCGTTCCTTGTATGTTCAATTAAAGCAAAGTACATTTTCTTTTACGTATGTACTTTAACATACGTGTTCGAGCTTTAAAACAGCCTACGGATTCATGCTAAATTTAATGAAAATTTGAAAGTGTATAAAAAAAAATACTGTAAGATGAACAAAAAAGTAACTTGCACATTTCAAATGACACATCCAATCCAATTATATTACCTAGTAAATGTCATAATTTGCAAAAAATAGAAGTTGATGGGTTAAAGATGCAATTGTGATAAGTACTGCAAAATCATTCATTTATTGCATATAACATGTAAATCATTACTTGAAATGCGAATATTTTTTACTTTTCTTGAAATCTTATTTATTTATTCCTATGTTGTCTGCCTTGAATTTTTTTGGCTCATCTGGAGGCACACAATCAGACAATACAATATTGTTTATATATTCTTCCATTTTGGTACCAGCAAAGAGCCAGAAATGTTGACTATTTTCACAATAGTTTGTAACATTGAGTGCCTTATCCTGTTGACATGATTTGATTCCACAAATCTCAATGACTTCAAAGCGGTAACTGTTATACATTAGATTATGAGTTCACGGCAGTTCACATGTACGTACGCGTTCGATATCACACAACAATCTTCATCTGACCTATCTTTATTCAAGGGTCAAGTGGTAAAAATCAAAAATAAGAAATCTTGAAAAATATGTTCATGACAAATCCTATGTTTTATCTGAATCTGGTAAATCGTAGATGATGACATTCAAACACTTTTTAGTATTTACTATGATTTTCTCATTCATTATTTTGAGTAACGAGTATGTATATTTTTTGCAGCATTTTGAACTCTCTGTAAAATGCAGCTTAAATTTGGATGAATATAACTTTATTTGATATATTGTACAACTGGTTATAGTCTAACAAGACCAACAGATAAATTACTCTATTTTCTAAACACTATGACATTTATTATCAGTAAATAAATTGAAATAGATAATTCACAGCGACGAAATTCCAGAGAGATTATGGAGCTGTATTTGTTGGGTGACAGGCGGAGGCACCGTGACTCCATGTTTCTTCATGCAACTCGATATTTTCGTACTTTGGCAAAATCTGAAGAACCAAAAATTATAACAATTTTAACATGGCTAACTCCATAAATTGATAATAAAGTTTTCTCAAGAGATATTGAAAGTACCAATTCAGCTCGGACAATATAAAGTTCAAAAGATTATTCCACCCAACCGGGTCCATTGTTTGGTTTTTTAAAGGGAGACACAGGCAAAATTTTCATTTCTTCGTTTTGATTTTTCATTCATCTTTCTGTAAATATCCTCAAAATAAATAAACTAGGTAGTCACAGGAACAAAACTTTTCTCCTTATACAGAATAAAGTGCTGGTTTCCTAACTTGACCCGCGTGGGTCAGGTTAGAGCGTTAAGATATCACATAAGTTCAAATATACAAATGTAATTGGAAACCATTCTGAACGTAACCCAAAGCTTTTAACAGAAACTAGATGATTTTTTAGCACTATTTGTTTTGTCTCTAATACTTAAAGAAATCATGAGCAAAATGACTGTACATACATTTTCCCAGTAGGCAATGAATTCAGCTGGTGTTATGTAATCATCCTCTGAAAAACAGACACATAAAGAAGATAAATAAAAAATACACATAAAGAAGATAACTTAACGAGCCACCACTTAAGAAAGACAAAACTTTTTTTTTAAAGAAGCATGTACAGTTAAAGCATCATGTTTATTTCATTTAATGTTTGTAGTCTATGTCAAATAAAAAGTTGCAATCACAAAAGCACGTGTCATTTATAAACGTACATGTCTGTCATACTCTAGATGAAAGCAACAACATTTTTATAATAAAGCCCGCTAAAGAAAAGCCCGACTAGATATAATTTGTTTCATCGCATTTATAATAAACCGAACAAGCGGCACCGCATGAACATATTATAAAGATCTAATTTTAAATGGGAACCCTTCGGAAGTCTTCACACTTTTCCCTTGGTAGGTGTACGTCGTTGAGAAGGCACAGGGCGTCGGCAGAAGAATTAAAGTACTTTGGGTGGCGGAAACAAACAAAGAGAAGAACATGTTCTTGTCGACCAGCTGACTAAAGTCGAGGAGAGTGGCCATACATAGTAGGCAGGGACGACGACGAGGAAAGTAAACTTTATAAAGGCATGACTGGTGACATGTTTGGGGTCCGTACTCGACAGCGAGTTTCATTTAGTGCCTGAAAGGGCAGACGGACCCTCATTAGGCATAGACTACAGCCAGCTCCCCGCCCCTTAGAAAACAACAAAGGTAGAACAATTACGTGAATATTACAGATTAGGTTGATTTGGGCCATTTACAAGAATACTTTTTCAATCCGCCTCCCTTAACAGATTCATGTTGCTAATCACTGCCTCGGCGCTAATTTTGAGTTACCCCGTCCAAAAGTAATGAAACTACGTAAAGTCAAGTACGACTACGTCTTGGCTCTGGCCTGACGTTTTGGAAAATGGGGTCAAAGACAAGCAAAATAATAATGCATGTTGTGGTAATCAAGATAGAAAACTTTGACTTACTATTTGGATTCATGTTGTCAAACATGGCGACATAATCTTCATCTGTGAGGACGTGGTCATTATTGAGATTGTACTCGTCAAAGAGATAATGCGACAGTGGATATAACGAAGGGGTTGTGTTGCAAATGAATTCAGTATACTCGTATCTTGTCTCAAATCCATCTCCTAAAATAATTAAAGTACAGTTTCAGCACTCATACTTATGCGGAAATGTATGTAGCCATTATTTTGGCTATAAATATGCAATTTACAAAAGGTTAGAGCAAATTACATTTGAAACAATTTTTGTAGGATTGCTCTACATTTTTATGCGAGTCACATGGTGTATTAAGTTAGACGAAAGTTTTTGAATTATTTCTCCTTCGTTTCTATTTCTTCTTTAGTTCTTGTATATATGAAATTTATTCAAAATTTGATCCTTTGAACATTTGAAAGACCGCTATATAAACGAACTTTTGTTTTTCTGTATTATAATGATCACACGATCCATTACTAAAACCACCTTGCTTATTCACTATTAATATCACGATTTTCAGTCCAAATCCTTGTTATTTTCTAGACTCCGCTATTAAGACTATTTTTGATACGATCAACACCTATTAAGATCACAATTTTGATACTTGTCTGGTGAAACGCTTTAACTCATAAATCTTGATGAAACATGATGTTTAAGCTGTTTTGATTGAAATTTAATACAATTTATAGAACAATGAAAGGTTAAGAACTTTAATTTCAGAGCGGTTATTTGTTGGTTTTATGTGCATTTATTTTACCAGGGATTGATGTGAAAATGTCATTTCATATGCAAATGGCAAGAATTGATAAGTAAATCATTGAAATTAAATTTTGAATTATTTCTGACTTTATCATCATCAAATTAAGTATCGTAACATCTTTGCATATTCGTATATGAACGTTTCATTGCAAATTGTTTGTACATGACACACAGTTATCAAATATGGACTGTAAAAATATACAGGCGTTGACCACAAGACCAGCCCGAAATTAAGAAGATTTTTACTTATACGTGTTGGTGTCTTATTAGAAAGTTTATTTGTGTCAACAAGAATGAGTTAAGAATAAAGTGTAATATAATAACTTTATGCAAAATTGACAAAAGCTGACACGAAGTACAAGCTTAAGAAATTACATCGGCCTGAGAGGTGTATATCGGCTATTTAACACCGGTTTGGAGTTTTGATGCGTAGGAATTTTGTCGCATCAAAACGACAAAACCGGGTGTTAAATAGCCGATATACACCTCTCAGGCCGATTTTATTTCGATTCTAACACGATAAAATAAGGAAAATCACTAATGTTATTTTTCAAGCGGAAATAACTTCCGGTGCCGATTTTCGTATGTAACGCTGTTCGATTTTCGCACCCTACTGTTGCGAAGATATAGAAATTATTAAACATAAGAAATAATAAGCAAAAAACGTTATTTTATCAAGTTTTCAACAATAAAAACTTACGTCGTATTGTGTTTACATCAAGGCCCCATTTATCATTCTTGTATGTATGAAATAACGTCAGCTTGTTTATGAATGAGTTGTTTACTTACGATGACGTCATTACGCTGCTTACGGAACGGCGCCGTTTTGTCAAAATATTTATTAACTGATATGGATCATATATGTGGCGTTAGTGTATGTGATATATTATTTCGGTATTGTATGAAAATAAAAAAATGTACGAACTGAAAATATAAATAAAAATGCTTTTAATTGTAAATCATACAATCGAGGGTGAAAACATAACAGCACATATTCAAGTAGTCCCTAACCGGTGTTTATTGGCAGTTTAACACCAGTTTTTGTCCTTCTTTGTCTATAGTGACAAAATCTCGTGAGTGTTAGAATATTCTATAGAGTTATTTTAAAAGTAAGGATCATTTGATAACAAAGTGTATGATTGAATAAACGACCAACGACAAAATGTAATTTAATTACAAAGACGGGGACCACTTGACAACATAATGTCAGTGTTATTTTGTTGCGCATTTTTTCCCCTCATAAAAAAATGTTGAAATAAATATCAAATAAAATTGTACTTATATTATGTGTATTAGGAACACACCGTTTAAGTCGTATTTTACGAATGTTTCACGTATTTCTGACATATTAAGATGTCCATCCTGGTCTAAATCACTGTGTAAAAACATCACGATTGCTGTATCGGCATACGGTTTCAGCTGGAGAGAGGATCTGGAATAGATATATGAGCAGTGTCATGACAAAACCAACATAATGCAGTCTGATCAGTATCCATGCTGTTCGCTATCAGTTTCTTTACTTGTAATAGGGTTTGTAAGCGAACAGCATGGATCCTGATCAGACTGCGCGGAGGCGCAGGCTGGTCTGGATCCATGCTGGTCGCAAACCCATTATGTTAACTTTGTCGTGACGCGGCTCATATCCTTTGTTATAGTTAGGTGTGATCATTAAATTAAGGGTTTATTAATATTTTATTTGGCTGTTTGTATATCTAGGTAACATATGGCCCGTGACTAAGGATGGTTCCTTTGAATAAAAGCCAAAAAACTGAAACTGTAAATGTATCATTAAGAACGATGTTTGAAAACGACGTCCATTTATTTACTGTCTTTTGGCCAACCCTTTTGGCATTATTTTAAACGCTTTTCGGTAGTATAAATGCAATTACGGTGTTAACATTCCTTCTTAAAGAGGTTTAATATATATATTAATACAATTATTATGTTGTTTTTTTTTAATTTATATAAAAGTATAGGCCCTATGTCAACTTCAAGAAACGGTTTAAAAATACTTGAAGTACTAAAATAGTGCGTTAGCTTCGAACTCCAGATATTATCACTTTAACATGTATTCTGATTGTTTTCTTTCTTTCTTTTCTTTTTACAGATGTTAACATACTAGTAGATACAAAAATTCTCGTTAGTTACCGTTCTTTAGAAATAATAAATTTGCATATATAGCGCCATAATAACAATAAATATTACATATACTTTGTCAACAATCCTTGTTTTAATCTAGATCTACTAAAATATTACACACTTACCCGTTGCAATAATTTACCAGGAATAAAACAGCTATAACCAATGCTTGACGAATCATTGTTCCCGTGGTGTATAGATGATATAGGTAACTATATATATATATATATATATATATATATATATATATATATATATATATATATATATATATATATATATATATATATATATATATTATATATATATATATATATATATATATATATATATATATGTATATATATAATATATATATATATATATATATATATATATATATATATATATATATAACGAAACAAATACATGTAAATGCATAACAGAATTACGTAAAACTTTGTATAGTTAATTACTGACTTTTAACTAAAACATTCTCTCTTCCGATGTTGTTTTAATGAGCATTGTTAAAATAACACCAAAGATAAACATCATGTCATCATTACATACATTTAATGTTTCATCTACAAATTTAAAAAAAAAACGAAACATAAAATTCATAGTATTCAGTTAAAAAGTGCAAAATAGTAAACCACAAAAGCCACTCCGTGATTGCTATTTTATTTGTTATTTATGCCAACGGAAAAACATTGTTTACAGCGCGATAAATGTGGTTCCATTTTTTAGCAAAGCTAGAAATTATAAAACAAGATTAATTTTACTCTGTATAAAAAGGACTACAAAATCAACTTACCGTCTTGGAATGAAAGGAGTGAAAAATGAACTGAAGTCAAAAGATAGTCAACAAGATAATATTTCATATCCAAGTTGTTCTAATTTAAGCATGGGAATATATATCTTCATTTTGTATGTAAGGCCTATTTGGAATTTGTTTGTCCGTTTCCCCTAGATAAATTGTTATCTGGTCATGTCCGTTTATGTAACCATCTTTGTTAGGTACACACAAAACAGAAACAAAGTTTCCCTTCTGGATGCCTCTCTTGTTAAAAATGTAAACTTTATCTTAGCCTTTTAACTGAACTAAGAAAGGATCCAATTCGTGGGCCCTTGTTTTGTTTTGAAAATCAATGCACCGATCTAATTTGTTTGACAAAGGTGTATTAATATTACATTTTTCTGAACAATTTTCGCATGAATTACATAATACAATATTTATTGTATACACTGATCAAAAGTTCTAAACGGCATCTTAGTTCTGGGCAAATTGTTAGCTTAATATTTGATATAAACGTAAAACAACAGCGATTTAAAAGCAATTTATTGTCAATATATGTTATAATCACCGACAGAACAAAATCTTCTGAATAAATTTCATCAACTACACAAAATGAAAATAAAAAAATATGGGCCAAAATCATCCAGGAGTTGGAAATGCGGCACAAGAATTTGTCTTGGCAGCGTTGGGCATTCAGATTACTTTCAATATTCACAAGTTGCGTTTTGTGAGTGCATAGAGACTCCTGTCCATACCATGATCTGATCGAGCCAACTTCACAACGATCCGCTTGAAGCACAACTTTAACGTTTCCAGCGGCGTCTGTACACACGTGTGGGCCCATTAGCTTGTCGGCGGGGTCTTATCCTTGTCTCCTTAACATTCTTGCCACATGAAACACATGTTGAATGTCATTGATAAAAATTAGATTTGAATCAGAAAACAATTCACATTTAGTACATGAATTATTACTTCCCGTTCTGGGGTTCCGCGATCACCATTCATATTGCATGTGTTTAATTGCCGTGTTTTTATTTGAAATGTCACTTGTAAAAAAAAACCCGTGTATATCCAGTAACGCCGGGATGTGAAAATAACGCGGTTACTTGGCAGGATTTCCAACGTGGTAAGTAAACTGGCCAATATATTTTTTATTTTACCGAACTAAAAAATTGAATAGCCTCATACGGCTACGAAAACATTATGTTAGATTACTTTGCGTTTCGCGTTAAGAAAAATACCAATCGAATTATCTTTAAAAGTTCAGTATCTTAATGCTCAACCTAGTGCATGTATTAAAGTGAAAATGAAAAGGTGGCCGTATAGAAATTTGTATACGTTAGATAGACGATATTGTGTTAAAAAACTAAATTAAGCTGCCATTTACCTAAGCATTAGTAAGCATTGTTTACACTTCTCATAAATTTAAAATGAAAAAAAAAAAAAAAAACAATACAGGTCAAATGATTCTATATAGTTAAGGGTTTGATTATAAGGACATTTTTGTATCTGAGATTTTTTTGTATTTCTACAATTGAATTGTCTACAGGTAATATGGTGATATTTTAAATAAGAATTTTTGGGGAAAAAAAAATTTTTTTGGGGAAAAGGGGGAAATTAAAATTAACCCTTTCATAGGAGAGGGTTTGTTTTTTTTTTTTTTTTTTTTTTTTTTTTTTTTTTTTTTTTTTTTTTTTTTTTTTTTTTTTTTTTTTTTTTTTTTTTTTTTTGATGGTGATAGTTACAGAATATAGAAGTTTCTGGTAAAGTACAAACAGAAATGTTTTGGTCTAAGGGAGGTAAAAATTGACGCAGTGTAATCAATTAGACCCTTTCATTTAAGCGATAACAGTCAGGGAAGAGTTACTTCCCTTACCGGATGTGACGTAAATGGGGGATAAAAACTATGCAGGCCGCATAGAATGTTACCTTATTGAAAAGTTAAATGCGTATATACTGATCGTTCAATTATGATTATAACATGTAAAAAAATTACGCATGCATACATAAATTCAATATCAAGACAATAGAAAAAAAATTACAAAAACAAAGATTAAGATTAATTCTCGCTACGGAGTGAAACAGCGAAATTTCAAATTAAATACTGCAGTACATTTATTAGATCTAGATTTTCTCTAATGCACGGATAAAAAGCTGGTAACGAAATCAAATTTTAATATTTTATAAACACCCATACACACTGAAATTGCCTATTATGAATATAAAGGGCCATTTTCTAGTTTTCTGAGTTATTTTCTGTCATTTAGAAAATTTCGGCGTTTTGAGACAAACATGAAAATAAGACTGCCAATGTCTTTTAATGATAGTTTTTCAAGCTTTAATAGAACAATTACAGAATGCATTCTGTCAATATTTACTGATTTTTTTTTCATTATGCCGTATAAAAATATTTCTAAGAACCAGTGAAGGATATAATTCTATAAATATTCCGGAAAGAACGAAAAACATGTGGCATAGACTTTTGTAATTTTAGATTCGCAACAGACGATAAGAAGATAATTTTGATATTGAAAATCTTTTCTTATGGTTGTGGAAATAAAGACCTTTTCCCAGTAACATAGATAAATAGATGTGTATATATAAGCACCACTGGGCCGTATCATATTAATTGAAGAGGATGCATATGTTGTATATTCAAGCGGCACTTGGCTGTACGTGATATCATCAATCACCATGGTGCAATTTTTTAGAGTTATAACATTACATTAGATTACGTCACTTTTGTTAGTTGTCAAAACATTTATGGTCCGAATTTTGTTATGGATCATCCTAGGGACTTTATTGGTCATGCCTTACTGATTTGATTCTCGATCTAGAGTCCTACCAACTGGCACAGTCAAAAATACATAAAATTATAATTCAGTTCATAACGAATTTCTGTGAACGTGTTTCACAACTTGTTTTTGTTTTGTTTTGTTTTTTTTTGTGATTTTTTTTTAAATATTTGATAAGCTGAGTATGAATTAAAAAGTATCAAGTTGAAAATATCACTTTACTAGCTTAAATATATTGGTGTGATGTACGATTTTTTAGAGTGCATTTATTGCCGACACAAATAGTATACAGTCATGTACATTCAAAACGAATATTTACTTTTTATGCCTTTACATTTTTTTTAATTAATATATAGATTAATATTGTTGTTTTTCTTTGTCTCAGTAATGCTTAAATCAAAATGTTTTTTTAATAAATCAATACCGTTTTTCGAAACTACAGAATCCTTACATTTTTGAAACTCAAAATATCTTTTGGGTATTGTATATTACCATAATCTATATCTCTGGTATTAGCAAGTTAGTACGATTTATCTGCCTGGTAAAATTTTCATTAATTTATAAAGAATCTAACGAAAATGGTAATCATTATCAGTTACCGAGCAATACGGTCTACTATTAAAACAAATCGTTAACCTTATTATAGTAAACATTTTTATTCATTTCACCATCCTTTTTATGTAATATCGTATTAAATTACCCAACATTTTGGCAATTTCAATCTCCCAATTATACAAGAGAAAGGATTAAGATCGTTATATCCCTCTATTATTGTACTAAATCTTATCGCCATTGTCCACCGTATCCCCCAATGACGTCATCCAAGGGCGACAACTTGATTACGGTCTTAAATGAAAGGGTCTATAGGATATGATAGGATTGGATATAGGATATGATTGGATTGGATATAGGAAAGGATAGGATATGAAAGATATGATAGGATACGAGATAGGATATAGGTTATAGGATATAGGAGTTGAGGAGAGGGGCGGGGAGGGGGAAGAGGAGAGGTAGGTGCAAGTTTTCACCCATATATTCAGGAGCAAGACCGTGTTTTATTGTAAAAAATCTGGAAAAAGGTGACCCCTCGTAAGCATTCATCACAAAAAAATACATGAAAATTGCAGACTCGGTTTGATTGAGTCTGTCTGTACATGAGGAATAATGAAAAAGTTCAACATCCTTCACGTCCCCTGGCACCGGCATAAACTAGCAACAAATTCAAAACTTTAAAATGTTCATTTACAAGGTGCAATCTATGGCCAAGAATAAGTACGAATTGATTTATTTTGTGTGACCTGGAGTTTATCGTTCCAGAATTTGGTTAGACCATTGACTCAAATTCAACATGCAACATACAGATGTTGCAATGAAATCACCAGTCAGAGACTTATCAAGTGTAGCAGCTAGATATTTGACTTTAAAAGTTATCTGAATATCATTTATCAGCTGACTTTTAACCAAATAACAGTATCTATACTTTACCATAGTGAAGGGATAATTTGTTGTCTATTAACGATTGACTGACAAATTGAATTTTATTAGATATTATTTAATAAATTACCTATTCTTCCCTGCAACAGGGGCTTATGTTTTACAACAACCTGCATATTATTCACATATACCGGTAATAGAAATATTAAGGCCCCGAGACAGATCCTTGGGGAGCACCACAAATAACCCTTCCATATGTGAGATACGTCCATGAAATATGATAAACAAGATCAACAAGAAAAGGCGGGATGAGTTGTTGCCTGTCAGAAAGTTATGACATAACCAATTGTAAAATATTAGAGTTTATGTCAATAGCTCTATTTTAATTTCACTGTGTCAAATTGCTCCGAGAAACATTAGACACTCATAACTGCGTATTTATATTTTGAACACATGTATTTTTCAGTGTAGACGAGAGAAAAAAAAACATTTGACAGTTTGGGTAGTGCTATTCAATATTGCATAGCAAACTCATTTTACTGTTCATTTAATCTATTTTGGATATTAAGTTGATACAGTGTAGTAGTTAGATTGCTTCCTTTGTTGTTATTGCATATGATACCCGTGCAGCTTTTGCGACTCCATTAAGATGGTATTGCACGGTGAGTATATATTGACGTGGCCATAGATCTCAAGAACTAATGATTTCAAGGAAAGTACCGAGTTAAAAGTTGTCGTTCAGGAACTTTTTATTTTTCGATCTGTATACATAAATAAGTGTGTACATGAATAATATTTCTGAATGGAAAGGTAGCGACCGAAATAACCTGACGGTTTATGTGCTTTTGTGACTGTGGTAAAACTAGTTGTTTCGATTCTTTTAGCGCATTCACGGTAACATTACAATAATTCCGTGTTATTTAAGCGCAATCACGACAGGGCATTGCAGTTAAAGGCTATAAAGTGCAATCACTTACGACAGCGCTGATTTACCATGGCCTTAGATAACATAAGACAATACTTGATTCAATTCAATTATAAAACATGACTTCAAATGTGAAATGCAAACAGTAGGACCTTTTAAAGTTCTCCTAAAATATATCTCATTTCCGGATGATATTTACTTTTAAAGTTTAAACAAATAAAATAGTTCACGATTTAATCATTATTCTTATTATAAATCTTGTTCGTGAAGCTCTAGGCTTTCGAAGCTTCAATTTTATGATTTTCGATAGACATAATTCATATGTAACTAAGTCAATATTTCGTTGATTTTTACCTTCTCATATTGTCAGAACCTTTAAGCTTTTATTTCTCCCTGAAAAGATCTGGAAGTTTTTCCTTAAAACAATAAAAATACAGATTATATGGTCTTGTATCCGTTAACAGCAGTTTAATCCAAATAAATTAACTTCTAATGTAGCAACCAATATTTTTAAACATTTTCTATTATATATTTGCACGTATATATTTACTTAGTTTCAAGTTGGTCAACACTTCTTTTTCAATGGAAGAGAGCAATAGATTTTGCTCCGCATCAGTTCAAAATTTTAGTTTATTTACTTCTAATCAGGCGAACATTAAGATACAAATTGGTAAACTGTTTTAATCACATTAGCTATAATCGTCGGCTAAATGTGCAATATCGCAATTACCCCCGCTGTATCTCGGTTACTTTTAGAATGACAGGAACTCATCTGTGGCCGAAAAGCCTTAAAATGTAACATTTGTAATTCTTACGTAGATAAACCAGGACGTTTTAAACAGAACAATATGCAAATGAAAATAAAAATTGTACACTTTATTGAATTGAAAATCGATTAATCATAGGCCGATTTGAGTTAAAGCAATTAAACGCTTTTCATTTTTTTGTGTCAATTTGGACAATTAAAATGAAAATTCTTGAAAACCGGTTGATCGAATGATCTGAAACTTTAACACCAGCAATTGGTAAAGACATTAATAAAACTATATGAAATTCTCGAAAATCTCAAGATTGTTACGGGAGATATTGGATTTGAAACGTACCAAAGCCAAGTCTGCAATGCTCCCTTAGTACTGTCTTTACTTTGCCCGAAAGAGAAGTAATCTGTTTAACATTTTGTTAGAATGTTTTTGGTTTAAAACGAAAATACGTTAATTCCATGGTGACTCTAAGTCCCAGAGGTGTGCTCTATCTATGACTAACCCTTGTTGGCAATCCTTTGCTCAAATGTGAACGTAAGAATCTTGATATCAACATCACGTGATAACATTTCTCAATATCTAACCATTAATATCTATATTATGCCTCAGAAATGCTTAAAAAATATTTTCATTTCCCAAATGCTTTTTTGTCCTATTATATTTTACAAAATTTTACTGATTTGTCAATTACCTAAACCATCGTTTGCTTCTGTTGCTTTTTAGCTAAAAGTAAAATTAAAATACTATATAATGTTACTTTTATGGGGCGTCCTTGGCCGAGTGGTTAAAGTCGTTGACTTGAAATCACTTGCCTCTCACCGCTGTAAATTCGAGCTGCGGCAGCGTCTTCGGTGGTTTTACTCAGGTACCTGTTTGCGACTTAAATGTGCAAAGGGAAACCGGAGGCCGGAAAGTTGCAATATGATATACACTGTGTTGGTGCGACATTAAACATTAATATAGTTAATTTCATTCAGCACTTCTGTCTTCAAGTGATAATCATTATTAAACCACTAAAAAACTTTATTTGTGTCCCAAGGCATAAAATGCCTTATATGACAAAATAAATTAAATAAATTTACAAAAACATGGCTGCATTAAATTGAAAGCTTTCATCACCTCAAACGCTTTTTCACCTCACCACTTTCATTGCAGGATGCAAAGGCATTAACAATTGGTGAAATTTAATAAGTTTATCATTATAAGCATTTTTCTTGTTTTGTTTGTTATGTTTTTGTTGTCATGACATCAGTTTTTTAATTGCAATCACGTTGATAATACGACCATGTACCAATATATAAGAAAGATGTACCGGTATTGTCATGGGGGTTCAGTCGTTGTAGATGGCATCTTTTAAATAATTTCGAGTAATCAAAAGAATTACACTGTGTATCTGATCGACAAGCTTCCACACATTCCTGCTCCTCAGCCGTGTAAATTGTGTCATAATTGTTCATCCACATTGCCGTTCCTGTGTGCTTTTGAAACGTGTCTGCATAGCCTTTGTCACAAGACATCAAATCTATGCATTCGTGCAAACTATAGCTGTAGCTTTTGTAATCTGGGCATATGTCAATGCATGATATCGATGGCATGGACCATTGTCCTAGGGTACAGTTGCGCGTTGAATTTCCAATCAAATACGAAGCATTTTTACAATGGTATATAACAGTCGATTCTTGTTTTACTGAAAACGCTGATATGTAACTATCATTTGAAGCTGTCACATATTTTAATCCTTCGTAAGTCTTAATGAACGCCTCATGTATTTCAAGGCCCGGACTGTGTTGAGGGGGATATGAACATATCAGCTCATATCTGGCTTCCTTAAGGTATTGCCAACGCCCTTCTTCGTTACAAACAAAATAACTGAAGCCACAGCCATTGTCAAATTCAGATGCAAGGACATTACCAACATTGTTCATATTCCCTAGAACTGTTTCTGATTCAACATTAGAGGGAGAATCACATTCTTCAATTTTGCATTCTACTTTGTCTCCGCTCTTGATGCATGTTTCGTTCTGTTGACATTGGATATGTCCGCATTGGTAAATATTTCCTTCTAAATATAACTGATCATTTTCACTAAATAACCAACCGGGCGTAATTTGTAGAAAATCAGAATCACTTTCAGAGTTGAGTTCGCAAATATGATGTTTTCGATTGTAGTTGATAGACTTACAATTAACTTTTTGTTGACATATATCTGCGCATGTCGAGAGTGAAGTTTGAGCAAGAGTCTTTAAAGTATATCCAATTAACTTTCTTGACATCTGAATGTCCACTGGTTTGACTGATACATATGAATATATTTGTAGGAAAATAAGTAAAAATATTTTTACAAACATAAGCAATCTTTTGATTCCTGTCTGCATTTTATTTTGTCTTCAAAGTTTTGGGTTTAACTTAATACAGCTCCTTATAAACGATAATTGCAGAGATTAAACTCATCTGATCATATCTACTTGCTTCCCTAATTCTGTGTGAATGTGTCATGAGTGGCTTATGCTGAAAATCAATTATTACAATTCTGCTTTTGTCTTTACCATTTCCGTTGTCATCCATATGTGCATCATTGATAACAAAATGTCCTAGCAACTACAAGTTATGCTTAATATTTCTCGAGCTTTTCTAAAAGTCATTGAAAAAAGGCATTGATGTCAGTAATAGCCAGTTCAGTTGAAACTTAAGTTAATATTTTAAATCATATTACTGCATTACAATATTAGCGCATCACAGTTTCATTTACAACGTTTGTATAATTTTGTTTTGTCGTGTTAGGGTCCTTCTGATTCAAGTCTTATTAATTCATTGAGTGTTCTGGAATCTTTGATTTCAAATTGAGATTTGATGAGGATGTAATATTTCCGATCTTTAAAGATCAATCAAGACGACATTTTTGTTGTGTTTGTGGAAGTTTAGGTCTTTCCTTAACTAAAATAACAACAAACACTATTCTAGCATGACCAAACGGGGTACGTTTATTTGATGAGCAAAACAAGTAACCGGGCTTAAGAAAGAGCAATATTTTAACACACAATTGATAACAATGGAAAGAACATGTAATCTAAGCACGTTATTATTATATCAGTTGTTCTGGAATCGTAAAAACAAAACCTTATTCAATATGAAATTGGATATGTTAACTGCTCGAAAACGTCTGGTAGAATGACCAGTACACAATATACATTAACCGTTCATTGTGACTTATGCACGAGAAAAACATGACAAATCACTGCATAGAAAGCGATACGCAAAGACAAACATTTTACGCTATACTATCAAAACGCGTAAAATTTCAAGTCTTTCCTTAACTAAAATAACAACAAACACTATACTAGCATGACCAGACGGGTACGTAGAAAAAGAAAAACTATCAAAAGAACGGGCTGGAAGCCGCAATCAGCACTTATTATAGACCTAGCTGTTTCGTGACTAACCTTCTCTCTAGTGAATCGGCAACATAGCCGTCTTTGCTCTTATCGCATTTCCAACGACCGTGACGTTTCCAACAACGATCACTGACAGAAGCATTTGCAGCATCCGTAGCACCACCGCTTCTTAAAGAATGTAACCCGAAATCAACATTGCCGGCGATTTCACGTAATCTATGTAAAAGCGTTTCCCGAGCTCGAGTGTAACTGAGCGGTTTATCTTTATAAATGAGCTTAGAAATACCTCGCGTTCTGAAACACGGCTTGAACAAAAAATGAGAATTTGCAGAAAAAATGTTAGCCTCTACGAAATATCGTCTTAGCATAGAATAAGGACAAGCGATTGTGTCGCCCTTAGCAACAACCACGTCACTTCCGTGCCTGTATTGGTCGGTTTTGCTTTTACGGATATGTAAAGAAAAATAATCGTCATGGAACGTAATGTCATTACAATGCAAATTTCGTATTTCATCAAAACGGAGAAACGCTGAAAATCCTAATAAAATCATGCACAAATCTCTTAATATTAATACATCAGTTGTACTTTCGTATTTACTACACAATTCAATTAAAAGATCTTTAGTCACTGGTTGCTTCTTATTCACATGTCTAGATAAAGTACGTTTAGCACTTTCAACTAAGTTTTTTACAAAATGGTTCTCTGTGGGATCCTGAAGATTGTTTAAAGAATGTGCCCATTTGATTCCATAAACAGTAGAGGAAATCACGTGATTAGAACAACCTTTGTTCATCAAGTCAGTTAGATACAAAGCTATACAAACTGGTGAAGCAGGTAAAGCACTCCCTCCTTTAGACGTAATGAATGTTTTCCATTTCATGAAATAAGAGAAATATTTATTTACAGTAGTGTCACTTCTAGAGTCTAACAGTTTATCAGCCATTTGAGATGCAAGATTCTTCAAAAGAGGGTCATCAATCCCGGTCCTTGTGAGCTCATCGTTTATCGTCTGCTTCAATCTCAAGCCTGAATAAGAAGTACAACAATGCAGAAGCATGAAGAAATAATTTATATAAATATTAAAGCTATAAAACCAAACTTCAATGGTCTACCATCAAATATTCCGTTTCTCCCTCTGCCCCTTTTTGCATAGGAACTCTGGAACAGGACCGCATATTGCGGCGCATAAATCCGAATCCGTACCAACTTTACATATATAGTTTGTCCGACCTTTGAATATTTTTTCATATTATGCGAGCGGGTGGTCTTTAATTATCTAATCTCAATTTAATATAATCTGCTAATTTAAAAATCAGTCAAATGTACGGTATATTGAAAAAAAGAAAAGGAGTGACATCCGCCATTTACCGCAACGTTCGGCGTAAGTTATCCCCCTTGATATGCTTGATTTTTGTTTTAATTTTTCTAGTAATGAATACCAGATGAGTGCCTAAAATATTTATCTATGGATCATGTTTTAATATTCCTTTTTTCAGTAAGGCAAAATCAGTTGGACCATATTACTAAAGTGTCTGTTTTCTCCATTTTAACAAATCAATACACGAATTCGCCCGTTATAATGCCTCCTTTACATGTCAACATGTGTAAACAATAAACCGTTAACGTTATATCCGGACGGTACCTGATAGTTGACAAAAATAACGGGAACAAAATTCTGAAAAACTAGAAATGTGTCATCATGCCACGGATGCCCCCGCATGCAGCCAAAATTTCAGATGTTATAATATTTAGTTCCAAATTTGTTTGCACAAATTATTTTTTTCATTTGCAGTTCAAAGCCCTTTAAACTTTTCAATGTTAACACAAACCATTTTCATACAATGTTCAAGGCACTGAAATTATTCAGTCTTGACCTTTTGAAAATAGCATATTTCATATTTGTAGCCAAAATAATGGCTACATACATTTCCACAAAAGTATGAGTGCTGAAGCTGAAAGTTCAAAATTTTTCCAACATTCAAGAAAGATAAGTTTGTCCAAAATCATTGAACCACGACCAAATTCAAACTGCTTATTCCCAAGATGTATCTATATTATTTTCAAAGTGAAAGGGATATAACCATGACCAAATTCCAACCTGCCCATTCCTTTGACATATCCATATGTCAAATTTGAGTTGAATATGTAACACTGTTGGGTAGATAATGAACAGAAACTGTAAATTTCATATTATTTTCAAGGTGAAAGGGGCATTACCCTGCCAAAATTCATTGAACCATGACCAAATTTAAACTTGACCTGCGCATTCCAAAAACGTATCCATATGTCTAATTTGAGTTGAATGTGTTGTACTGTTGGGGAGATAATAAACAGAAACTGAAAATTTCATATTATTTTCAAAGTGAAAGGGGCATAACTCTGCCAAAAATCATTGAACCACAACCAAATTTGAACTTGACCTGCGCATTCCTTTGATGTATCCATATGTCAAGTTTGAGTTGAATGTGTTGTACCGTTGGGGAGATAATAAACAGAAACTGAAAATTTCATATTATTTTCAAAGTAAAAGGGGCATAACTCTGCCAAAAATCATCGAACCATGACCAAATTCGAACTTGACCTGTATTTTCTCATGACATATCCATATGTCAAGTTTGAGTTGAAGGTGTTGTATCGTTATGGAGATAATGAACGGAAACTGAAAATTTCATATTATTTTCAAAGTAAAAGGGGCATAACTCAGCCAAAAATCATCGAACCATGACCAAATTCGAACTTGACCTGTATTTTCTCATGACATATCCATATGTCAAGTTTGAGTTGAACGTGTTGTATCGTTATGGAGATAATGAACGGAAACTGAAAATTTCATATTATTTTAAAGTAAAAGGGGCATAACTCAGCCAAAAATCATCGAACCATGACCAAATTTGAACTTGACCTGTATTTTCTCATGACATATCCATATGTCAAATTTGAGTTGAATGTGTGCAACCTTTACAAAAATAATGAACGGAAACTGATGATGACGGAATGACAGAATGACGGAATGACGGAAGGACGGAATGACGGAATGACGGAAGGACGGAAGGACGGAACAGGGTAACACTATATGCCCCGGCCATTACATGGCGGGGGCATAAAAAAGTAATCAATTGTAACCAAAGGGGAAAAACTCATGCCGAAAACGTTGCGACAAATGGCGGATGTCACTCCTTGTCTTTTTGGCTTGAAGCCATTTCATATGGAAAACTTGTTCCGGTTAGGTGGTTTCCTGCTTACATCTGTTGGTGCATGATTGAACGGGAAACCAGATGCAATCGTGCCAATCGCAACTTTTCGGCCTTTTCCGTCACTCTTCGGATTAATGATAATAGCCGATATAGTTCCGATTGCAATCGTGACAATTCGGGCGATTCCATCATACTGCGGAATCAGACGAAGTAATATTACGGAAATCTAAGCTATTTTAGTTATTTCGGTAATCCCAGTTTGTTAATATAAAATAGGATTTCTATTTTTACTCGATTTATCGGTTTAAACCGTAATAAATTATAAATGAAATTGTTCCGTTTCAATTGTTTTTCAAGACGCAAAAGTTAGTTTCTTTTATAATTGTTTTTTTGTCTGTATTAGTTTACAAATCACGCATGATCGAGTTATATTTAGATCTACTGAACGCAATTCAACTTTTCGGTGAGGTAATCTAAAAATAGCCCATGCATGTCATTAACCTTGCCACGTGCTGTTATACGTATTTGTGATCGTGTAACATATAGTTCATATGTAGTTGATACAAGCTTATTAATTGGTACCACGTAACGAAGTATTTTAGTGCATTTATTTGTCTATAAAGCAAACGAATGATTTCTCTGCGAAAAAGGGGAAATGAAATGTGCACACTTGTTAGTTTTATACAATAGAGAATAGATTTCAAATCGTTTTGACAAAAAATATTCGTTTTTCAAAAAAAAAAAAAAAAAAAACTAAATAAACCCTTTATGATATACAAATACCGTAATTCAAAAAAATTGTGATAATAAATTAAAAAAAAAACAATTTTAAAGGGTTGGGATGAAGGCACAACACTGTGCAAGCCTTTCCTTTTAAAAGGAAACTTTATTTTATAATACCGTAAAATTTGACCAGTTTTAAAAGAGACAGATTGGGTTCAATTGATAATATATTTTTAGAGGCCATATAATCGGATTATACTACAAGATATTTAGATGTAGCAGAAACGTTTTTAAAAACCGTTACACGATCGAAAATATGCGCCGCAATTTGCGGTCCCGTTTTCGAGTTCCTATGCCTTTTTGTCAAAATTCCTGGCTGAAAGAGAACATATTCAAGTACAAAATCGGCTTGATTTTTTCCATCGGGAAACAAAACGGGCCAATACGGTGCCGACCGCCATATGGGTACAACTAAAGTGCACGTGCATTTTTCCTTTTTAATTTTGTTCAAAGTAATCAAAACTAATCTCGGGGGCGGAACAAGCCAATTATTTTCACCAGCCCATGCTTGTGCAAAAGCGTCGATACCGGCTGTTCCAGGGCACCAACATCTAGAATTGAATTTCAAACATTTACAATTATAATCGTAAGCGAAACGATCAAAAGAATGAGGACCCCATTTTGACTCAAGTATATCGAACACCCAGTCTGTAACTGACCAGTCGTCACTGTCAAAACACCTGCTGAGAAAATCAGCCTCCGAATTATCTTCCCTTGGAATCCAGTGAGGAAACAATGATATGTCATGCTTTCTGCAAACATCATAAATTTTCACAGAAATATCATTCAAATAAGGCTTTTTACTGCCAACTTTCAAAATTGAACATACATTTCTGTTGTCTGAATTTATTAAAACTTTATTTTCCTGCAGATATTGCAAAGAAGAATAAATAGACCTCCGTACAGCCTCGAGCTCTCGCCACGTGGAGCTTAAAATCTGCTCAGATTCGGACCATGTGCCAAAAAATTGACTATCGTCAATTCCATCAACATAACTACCAAATCCAGATCCACTGGCGTCAACAAAGACGTTTTTTACATCAATGACGTCAACGGAGACGCTTGCGTTATCAACGCTCTCCATCTGTCCAAAACTACACATGTTCAGTGACCTCAAATTTTCCTTCCAAAAAATCAATTCCGATAAAACCTCGGACGAAACCTTAACAGGTGCGTTCCAACTTGCCTTGGATTGTATACACTGATAAAGTGACCTTGACTTTAAACGGACAACTGGACCTAATACACATTGCATAGACAATAACTGGCCTGTTAAACATGCCAACATACGGACTGGAATGAAAACTTGTCCTGTACTAACTTTCAAAACAAGTTGTTCTATAAGCTGAAAAGCTCTTTCTAATCTATCCTCCGTTACTCTCAAAATTCCCTGTTCCATGTCCCAGAAGTAACCTAGCCATGTTAAAAATAAACAAGGTTGCCAGTTGCATTTTTCATCCGCTATCAAGAACCCAAGTCTATCAAATATGATAAACAAGATCAACAAGGAAAGGCGGCGTTCAATGAACGTTCAATGAAGTCTTGTCTAATGAAAGAACTATCTCTCAAAGCTTCAGCAAAAGTGTGATTGCCACCAAGGCCGTCATCTAAAAATAATACGACTCTTAAACCCAAGCTACGCCATTTTTTCTACAAGTACCCTCAAAACCTTTGTAAAAATATATCCTGCTGTGGATATCCCAAAAGGCAAAACGTTGAACACATAATACTTTTTGTGACCATTTTGTGTCAAATGAAAACCTAAATATGTCCTATGTGACCGATCGATCATTATATGGTGGTATACACTTTTAATGTCAAACGAAAACACATAATCACCTTTATAAAAAAGTTGCCTAGCAACAGACTGGTCTTCGTACCGACTTTGTGATTTAAATAAAACCGGATTTACATGTCTGCAATCAAGTACCAGTCTGGCTTTACCTGAACGATTAAAAGCTACAGTCACCGGGTTAACAACTAACGGAACCGACTGTACTTCAGAAACACACCCTTTAGCTACCAAATTTTGGATTTCTGCAGTGACAAAGGTAGAATTCCCTAAAGCAGAACTGTTATTTTTCATTTCAGTAGTAGCAGGAAATTTCATAAAAGGCAGCTTATAGCCTTTGTCTATAACATCAATAATATATTCATTAGAACATGCCTCCTTCCATTGCTTTAAGTTTTCCCTTAACCTACCTACCGGAGTGACTACTTCCGGTGACATTTCTAGACCGTTACTATAATTTCCATACCTAGACAAATAGGGTTTATTCAATTTCTCAAGCTTTTTTCTATTTTTTGTATTTTCATTAATTCCGCAAAATAAAATTTTACTTATCTGATCAGATTTCTCAGTTTGAGTGCCCTCAACCATCCCACGTGCTATACAATCAGCACGCCAGTGACCAGGTCTTCCACACTTGAAGCAGGAACCGGGTTTCCTCGAGGTCGTCCATGTTCGTCTGTCCTGCTGCTGCGCTGAATGTCCTCCTGGTGCCCCGGAAACGGTAGAATAAGAAGACTGGTTCATACCATAAAACGGAGAAGAACCAAAAAGTGCCGCTCGAAGACGACGCTCCTGCCTAGCTTTTCTGTCCGCCTGTATTTGCGAACGTGCGATTTTCTTCTCATCTTCGTCGTCGTCTGCTAACGGATGAGATTCAAACTCTTGTACCACCTTCCATCCGTGTTCAGAAGAATCAGCAAGCTTAATACATTTTTGTCGATAAATCAAAATGTTCATACCTTCGACTAGTTTTTGTCGTGCACTTTCTGCAGTGACATTCGAAGAATCCCTGACAGCCTCTTGGATGTAGCCGTCTGATTGTTGCATTTTATCAAGCACTTTAGCATTTACTTTAAACTGCTGCTCATGTCCCTTTTTCTTAAACGTATAACCGTCGGAAACCAAATTCTCCTGGATAGCCGAAATTTGTGCTTGCGACAACTCACGCTGAGTAGAATTTATGCGTTCCTCAAATGTCTGAAACTATGCATTGATAAGCTCTTCCATTCGCGAAAGAAGTGCATTTTCTTCCGATATGGCTGCCCGGTTAACACGTGGTCGGATACAATATGAAATTGGATATGTTAACTGCTCGAAAACGTCTGGTAGAATGACCAGTACACAATATACATTAACCGTTCATTGCGACTTAAGCACGAGAAAAACATGACAAATCACTGTATAGAAAGCGATACGCAAAGACAAACATTTTACGCTATACTATCGAAACGCGAAAAATTTCAATTCTTTCTGTTTAATTCAGCCCATTGTTTTCTCGTTTAAGGCATAACTATTTTTGAATAGTGGACCATACGCCGCTTTTCATGGAATGCCACTTACCTGTCACATTAAAGGTTCCATGATCACGGATGTTTCTAAATTTAAAATAAGCAGACAGTAGCTTGCATTTTCAAGTACTGTCCATGAACAAGCTCAATCAAACCGAGCCTGCAACATTTTCATTTTGCCGTTTTGGGCTTTCTTCTGGGATTCTATTTCTCTTTTGATACTTGTTTGCAATAAATATGTAGTGCATAATTACCTTGATTTGTTCTGTCGCAATGTTCATATCGATATATCAGTGGCATTAGAGTCTTAACTTTAACTTTGTGTAAGTATTTGGTTAATCTACAATAAATGACCGACATGTGAACATGGCGTTTCGATGCATACGGTCTTTTACTGAAACTGATAAATGCAAAACATTTAAAGAGGCGTTTCGTCAATACAAGAGCATGTGTCGCCTAAAAATAGCCGTAACTCGACAAAAATAAATCAACCTATAAACCTGTGTAATATGTGTAATGTGCACAAGAACTTAATCTACCGATCAATCCTGTAAAGTTTCATTAAATGGCGTAAGTGGTATAAGAGGAGTAGTCAAACACAAATACAAGGTGTAATAATATGTATTCCAAAAGAAAATAAACCTAAACAATTCGTGAAAAATTGGAGACCTATAACACTTCTTAATACGGTATACAAAATTGCTGCAGGTTGCATAGCAAATCGAATAAAACTTACTCCAGTTAAACTAATAAATAAAGATCAAACAGGTTTCTATGGAATCCTTGGAGGGTCACTTTTGAGTTTCGACTTATAGATTTATTTTACTCTTTTCTTATGACTTGATTTATGACTTTGATTTTTGACTTTTGGATTTTGTTATTGTCTCACATGCTTGCCTCATAATTTCCAAGGAAAATGTGGCAGAATATGACAACGATTCAGACGAGGTAAGTTCATTTACCTTAGTTTCCTGGAGACTTATTTAAAAAACAATATATGTGGGCTCATATACATGAACAGAATGTTATTCTTATATAAGCCTTTTTAATTGATTAAGAAAAGAAAATACTTTGCTTGCATTGCATTGCACCGGGTATCCATTTTTCATTTTGATGTCCGGAACAGGGATATATAATCTCAAATTGACATACTCAGCGTATGAATCAAACGCTTTATTTTTTTAAATGTGTTCCAGTTTTAAATCCAAATCAGTCTCGCATTGTTGTTTGCTGTAGTTTCAATCGGGTTTTACCCGTAGTTCATTCTTCGTCCATCTTATATTGAATATAGACCAAATTATAGGCCTTATTTTGACAAAGAAATTTGTAGTTAAAAAGTTTCATGAAACATGGTATTTCAAAAGCAATAAATCATACAGCTTTGAAACTTCACACACTTGTTTAGAACACGCTCTAAGTTAGAAATCTCTGAATTGCATTGTTATCAAATTATGCCTCTTTTTCGACTTTGAATTTATGGTTTAGAATTTTTATGAAAAATTGTTTCTCAAAAAGTATTTTAGCGATTCCTTTGAAACTTAAAACACATGACCAAGATTCGTATGAGTGACTCACAATTTGACATACTTATGCCCATTTTTAAAGCTAAAATGTTTTGACAGAAGGTTTATGAAATATGGTCCCATTAACCAGTTATGATATAATATTGAAACTTTATTCACTTGTTCAGTATCAAAAACTTAGGACACCTACCAAGTTCAAAGTACATGTTATTTGTATATAAACTTTTGTATACAGTTATGTATTAAGGGTTTTTTTGTATATATATGTATTTAGTTTCAATTGAGATAACACATACTTTAATGTTTTCAATTTAAATTCTAGTAAAGCTACCTGTAGGAATAAAGGACGTGCTGTCGAATGGTTTCAACTACAAAGCAGTTGCAAGAGCATCAGCAATACATATTTGTCAAGTCACGTTTTCGGAGCCAGTTTAGAAGACTAAGAGGTTTCATTGCAAAACAGCGTTCGTTCCGAGTGGAAAGTAGTACAGTTTAGCAAATGCAAAATGTCCAAACACTGTTGATTTGGTTTTCTTCGTTATTGTCTATGGAAATATTCAGACATTTTCGGAATACGAGTGTTAACTTTTTCACACTTGTTTCAGACGCTCAATAATTTTCAAGTTTTAACCCCACCACTTATTGTGGACGCTTTATTGGAAACACGCAATGTCACGTCCCGCCACGTTTATTTTATACTGTCCATATCTCCAATATGGTATAAAACTTGTATCGATAGACAGGTCATGGTGAGACAGAGAAAAGTGTGAAAAACTATGAATCTTAATTTTGGCTTTCATAATTTTCAGTATTTGCCCATTGTAAATTTTCATACTTATATGAAAGGTATCGAAATCAAACTTTGCATGTTCATATAGCTTGGCGAGGCAGAAACATCTTGCTATCATAGCTATCATAAATTTTAGAAAGTCCCGTTTGTTCTTGTTGTTTTTTGGGGGGGTTTTTTGTATTTGTTTGTTTGGTTTTTTTTCATACTTAGATTTTGTTAAGCTCATAATTATCTCAAAAACTGTTGAAGGCATCAACTTGAATTTACTGACAGATATATCTCGGCGAGACAGAGTGCATTGTGTTGTTAACAAAACTTTTGATTATAACATTTAATAGTTCTCCTAAGTTAAGTTGGGGGATGCTCACTACGAAAGACTATGAGATTTCCATTACATATAAAATCGGTCATTCTTCGAAAACAAGAGGGCCATGATGGCCCTAGATCGCTCACCTGACCCATCAAACTCATCCGAACAATTACCTAGACAGGCATTCTGACAATTGAGTCAAAATTGTGACCACTAGAGTGTTAACAAGATTTTTCTATTTTTAGCTCCTGTGACCTAGTTTTTCATCCGAGATGACCCATGTTCGAACTCATCCGAGCAAGTACCTAGACAAGCATCCTGATCAAGTTTGATGACACTTGTGTCAAAAATGTGACCGCTAGAGTGTTAACAAGATTTTTCTATTTTTAGCTCCTGTGACCTAGTTTTTCATCCGAGATGAAGCATGCTCAAACTCATCCAAGCTATCACCTACACAAGCATCCTGACCAAGGTTGACGATGATTGATGCAAAAATGTGACCGCTAGAGTGTTAACAAGGTTT